GTTAAAGGTATAAAAGTTGACAGAATTGAGATGAAAGTTTATAAAAATTGGTATATTTAAATAGGCTTTATATAAGATGTTTACATCCCTTTTGCTGAAATTGTGGGATAGACATGTTTCACTAGGCTTGTGGGATATTTATTGTGGGATAGACATGTTTCACTGGGCTTCCTCTACTTGGTATTATAAGACAGGGCATATGAATCTGGCCCTCATGAACTATTAAACATATGAAATGAAACCAATAGGGTTACCTGAGCCCATACAATATAAGGTAAAAACTGGGAACTAATACTCAGGGGTCAATAAATATAATAATAGACATTTTGCTCTGGGTCTACCCTGTGCACTCAAAAAGAGGGCCGTTGTTAATGCCTTATGCAAGCTTTTGAAGTCATGATAAATTAAATCCTAAAGTTCTAGAACATGGAACTCTTGATTTTCAGTTTAGATGGAAATCTTCTCTCTGATACAAAAGCAAATAAAGTAAGTATAGTTGGGCAAATCAATATTTTAATATCATTTAGGTTGCAGATCAGTTCTTTGGAGAATTAGGAGCAGATGTACCTTTCAAATCTCTACAAATCAGAAATGTAAATACAGCCCACAAAGACCAGAGACTGAGCCTAATTAGCTCAAACAGGTAAAACCTGAAACCAAGGGGAAAAAAAAGGGAAAAAAGGCCTTTTTAAACTCAAACTGTTGGAAAGGTTTCCTCACCCAAAATCTAATTCATAGCCTCCTTAAGGGTTTATCAAGGACAAATACAAATCTTAAGTCTTTTCCACAAATAGTGAAGCCTTGGTCATCTGAGCAAACAAATTTAACTTATTCCAACTGTTACTTATAAACTAGTGAGTTTATATGGTAATACCTGATTCATAACTAAGCTTTTAGAGTGAAGCTATGCGATCTCTAGTTTTGTCTGTTTATATGTCTGGGTGTACATTACATATGAGATGTCTCAAACTCTGGAAAATATTATCAAAATTAAACTTATAAAAGAGCTCTATTTAATTGACTTAAAATAAGCACTTACAAACTAAATATTTCTAATATAAAAGAAACTGGCCAGAGTGAATTTTGGGTTCACATGATCTAGGAAATATTCAATATTAAATTAATATCTGATATTAAATCTATCTTAAGCTTGTTGGTTTAGTCAATACAGACATGTCTTACTTTTATTGTACCTAGGTTTACTGAAGGTCATAAGTTCATGTTATTTGTAACAGTTTGTCAACAAGAAAAAAAATTAAATAGTACGATTTTCATAAGTTACAAAATAAAGGTAAGTGAGATAAGAGTTTTCAGGTGAACTCTTCAGGAATAATTATGTTTTGGGTAGGTCTATCTTAAAATAGTTTCTTCAGATTTTTGGTAATTTGAGTTTTGACAAGTTAAAAATGATGGGAATTTATTGAATATCCAGGTTATTTCAAATAAGATAAAATACTGGAACGTTAATTGCTAAACAGGTCTAAATCTACCTACTTTTGTCTCCTTACAAGAGGGAAACTAAAGATGTTTGGGTTTATTAGACACATTTCTTGTACCACACTAAGGAAAGAAATTATGCTATGAGAAGATGTATGTTTCTAAAGGTTATAGAATATTCAAACCAGGAAATGCTGTTTGTGAACAAACAGTTCATAATCACTTGCTCCTTTTCAGTTTTTGCTAAAGATTAAGGTTTTTAAGGGTTAAAACTGTAATATGTAATCAAAGCTACTAAAAATATCAAGGGAAACATTTCAGTGTGCTAGGAAAGTAGGATGTATGTTCTCAGCAAAAGAAGATATGAAGAATAGAAATGAATTTGTTGGAAAAAGAAGGGTGATTTTGTCCTAGAGACATTTACTTCTCCTTAAAAAAATTCCTTAAAAAATTTAAGGAACAAACTAATATGAACACAGAAAGTTGTGGAAGGTTTGCAGAAAGGGAGCCCTGAAAAGGAGTTCTGGACATGGTCAGGCTGGGATTAGATTAAATTTAATTAGGTAAATGGATTTTGTTGTTAAAAATAGGCTGATGTAGGAATGGACTTGGTTCCTCTCTTTGTTAAGAGAACAAAGTTTTCACTGCTTTTGATAAGAGATTGAGTTTCCCTGACTCTAAGTGATTTGCTTTTGAAGTATTTTGTCACTTTCATTAAGTGAATTAAGTGTTGTTTCACAGCAACCTATGATCCTATTTGACCAAGTGTTTTGAAACCTTTCTGATACTTTTGACAAACTTCCCAAATCGAAATTTCTAACTAAAGTTCTTCTGACCCCCAGCTAACTCTGAGATGCTTCAAAGGAATCCTGAGATATCTCAAAGAGAGATATTAAACTAAGCTTATTTATGTTAACATACATGGGAAACACTGTCAAATATGTGGTGATAATACCTTCTAAGGTTAGATGTCATTCATATAGATATTCCAAAATTTGTAAAGAATTCCTAAAAGTCTGATATGTCCTGGTATAATGCTATCAGTCATAATTCTAGTTATTATCTTAAAATGTTGTTTGTCACAGAAATATCCAAGTTTCTTGTCAATTGCATTGTAATCAGATCTTTAACCATGCCATACTAAGTCTTTTGTCGTTTTAGACAATCATTGTTTTACTCTGATGCTTTTATATAATGAAGATCTTCAAGAAGATTTACAAAAAGGACTATTTGACAAATACAAGTTTCTGACAACTTTTAGATCATACCACTGAGCTGGAAAACCTTTCCTCTTACACTTACCCCAAGTTGACTAAGTATACCTTTGTAAACAAAGATGAAACATTTCTTTTTCTCTCTACCTGATCCCTCCAGAATTTGGCTTCTCCAGCTGGCTCCCCTGGGGACTTGATGGCTTATTTCGACCAGATTACAACTAGTTATACTAATCATTGTTTTAATTTGCTTTCTTGTTAGTTTCAAATTACTTATGACTTGTCCCTCTCTCTGCTGCACTCTGACCTTACTAATGTTATTAGCTGTATTATTTATGTCCTGTCTATTTTATAAGATTGCTTTCTCTTGCATTACCCAATGTGTAACCAGGCCTCCAACAAAATCAATGATGTCTTAAGACAGCTGATCACATACATAACTCTAGAATAATTGTAACAGTGCAACTTTAGATATGGGAAGAAGTAACAAGGGAAAACAGCTCCTGGATCGTCATCAACTAGTAAGACAGGCGCTGCAGAGAATTTTAGATTACCAACAGGGCCCAATCCCCAAAATAACACATTGGGTGGCCTCTCAACAGAATCTTCGCCTGATCTAGGAATGAGCCCTCCTAGCACCATGGGACAAAAACTGGTCATGAAATGACTCCCAAACATTGGTCAAATTTATGAGTAAGAGGAGGCACTGTGGACAAAGAATGTCACCTGCCATCTCAGTAAACAAAGGATGTGGAGCCATCAAGCCCTCAGCCACTGCAGCTGTCCCAGCTTGCACCCTGGGGGGATTCAGGATGGAGAGAAGCAGGACACTGGCCCCAGAGAGCAAAGGTGCACATCAAAGGAATGAGTTCAGTGAGGCCAGACTCTTGCATCTTCCCATACCTGGCAAAATGCTGAATTCATTAACTTGAGATATCTGGTTTTCACTAATGACCAGTAATCTTTTCATGTTCCAACTACCTGGCTTTTTTTTTTTTGCTTGTGTTTGTTTGTTTTTACAAAAACTCCTCTGCATCTTGGCTTCTCCCTGACCTCTTCAGAACAGTCCCTCAGAGCTATCTGAAGAGGCTGTCTCCTGGGCTTAAGTGCTCAGTGTGTCTGCGAATAAAACGTAATTCGCAATCTTTAGGTTGTGCTTTTTTTTTTTCAGTCAACAATACTTACCCGTTAGGTGTAGTAATACACGCACGAGGTATAGAAACTTTAAATGAAATCCTAACTATTTAATCCACGATGGCCGAATTTGACAATTCTAATTTCATGAAATTCGTTGACTTTGCAATAGGTACACCTGTTTATTGTATAACCACAAATTAATTTAAAGAAACTAAAGATAAAAACTAAGGCCGTTGTGGGAGAATTCAATATCCTGGAGTAAGCTTTTTTTTTTTGACTTGTTAACCGTTCTTTTGTTTTTAAGTAAAACAAAACAAAACCAAACCCATCCCGCTGCATCATTCTACTTTTTTTTCTTAAGTGAAAGGGGGGGCGGGTAATGAGGTATTTTACCAAGTCATCCTGACGGTTCTAGGCGCAACCATGACACGAAAAGCCCTAGAGTTAATTTCAGGCAACGCAGAAAAATTCCTGGCCCCAGATCCACTCTGGTCACTTGGGCAGCATTTGAAAGTTACTGCTGGTGGCAGAACGGTTCAAATTCTTAAGAAAGGAGTAGGACGACTGCCAAGACGCCAGACAGCTGAAGACCAAGGGGAAAAGCTGTGCAAATGTTAGTTTACCCATTTCCAACTCGGCAACAGACAACGCCTGGGCTTCGGGAGGGGGCTCAGCACTGGCGCTCGGGGAGATTCCGCGGCGGCGCCGTGCAGACAAGTTTCCTCCGCCCGTGACCTCTGGCCTAGTTAGTTGTCAACTCTGCAGCTGGACGAGCCGGGGAGGAAGCCGGGGAGGAATCCAGGGTCCGCCGGGCGCTGACCGCGCGACCTCTGCCTTGGTTCCACCCAATGACGCGGGCCCGGGCTGCCCCGCGACCTCGCTCCCCTCACCCGCGCGCGCAGACCCCGCTCACCCGGGCAGGCCAGCCTGGCCAGCGGCACCTGCATGTTCACTGCAGTCGGTACGGGGGCGGACGCCGCGGGAGAAGCTCGGGCTCGGCTCGCCCGGGCGCGGGACCTCTAGGCCACGGGGGGCGCCATCGCCCGCCTGCACACGCGGAGACTCCGCCTCCCTCCTCAGCGACTGCTCCGCCTTCACGGCGCTCCCGCCTCCCTCTTGCTTTGCACTGATGCCGCGCGAGACGCGACGAAGGCAGTGCTTCCGGGTCACGGACTGAGGGGGCAAGGGAAGAGACTCCAAGTCCCGGCGCCGCCCGCGACTGCAGGCGGCGCGGCCTCTCACCGGGGCGCGCGGAGGCCGCCGGAGCTCTGGGGGGCCGAGACCACCAATCCCAGGGTGCTTCGCGCGCGCAGTGCCAAGAAGGTGGGGCGGAGCGGCGCGCACGGCACCCTGGGAGGTGGTGTCTTCCGCTCCGGGGGCGCAGAGCTGCCCGAGGCGCACTCACTGGCACCTGATTGGCTGTGCCGAGAAAGTGACAGGGCTTCGCGGCCCAGGGCCGAGAGCGGCGAGGAGGCGGGCCAGCTGGGATTTAGGCGCGAGCGGTTGAAAGTCGGTTGGTATCATCGGTTCGGCCACCGAGGTGCCGTCCCACCCCCAGCCCTCTCCATGGCGGACCCGGAGGAGCTGCGGCTTTCCCCGCAGCCGCTACGGCTTTCCCCGCAGCCGCCGCCCTCCTCTGCCTCGTCTTCAGACGCGTCTTCAGCATCTTCCCCCGGCACCCCGGGGGGTTTGGGCCGGACGGTTCCGAACAGGAACAGCGGCCGGCCGGTGGACCCGCTGGAGGAGGTGGAGCTGCAGATCGGAGACGTGAGTGCGGCCGGCGGGTCCGGGCCGGTCCCGCCCGTGTTCAGGATCCGCGTCGGGAGTCCCGGGCATCCCTCCCGCGCTGCGCCCGCGCCGGGGGTTCTTCGTGCTCGGCTGCCGGGGTCCCGTCCGGCGCTGTAACCCGAAACCGCGCAGTTCGCATGGCCCGCCCCACCTCGTCTGCGGGGCTGAGGGCCAGGCCATGATCCCTCTGCCGGGACTTAAGGCGCCCCCGTCCCGGTTGGCCGCCTGCCCAGAGCCCGCTGACAAGGCGATTATCTGTACGGGCGGACCCAGTCAGGACGGGTCACTCCCCGCCCGGTGGTCCAGACGGCTTCCACTAACGGGGCAGAGACCCCTCCCCGGGGTGTCTGCTGGGACGCCGGGTCTGGACGGCTTCTGTTGAACCTCCAATTTCCAAACCCCTCCTCCCCGAGGGGTACCGGTTTCAGGATTTAAGGTCAAGTGTAGGGTGTGTCTTAACTGGGAGACCCTCCCGTGCAGATCACAAACTGCGGAGTGAACTCCGTTAATGTCTCGTTGCTCAGTCGGTATTTGTTGTTCTAGAAGATGGCGAGAGTGCTGCAGCAGTTTCTCTGCTGAGCAGGCTGGTTCCAAGTGAGCGCGTAGAATGCAGTGCGGATGTGTAACTTGAGGGTCTGTTCTTTTGTCTGTACGTTTTCACGGCCTGACGCGTTCACAGGTAAAGACAGTGGAGCACGGCCCTTGGTACCCACGTATCAGTAAGAGCTGTGTCATAAGACCTTCAGATACTTCTGGTACTTGGTGTCAACGGGCCTAAGGCTTCTTGTTGAGCTAAATGAAACTCTAGTGTATTTTCAACGAAAAAAAATGCTGAGTGCTCATGTCTCATCCGTCATGGATTATCTTTCTCGCAGACATACTTCCTCAAAACTTCATATAGAAGAACTTCTGGGACTTCCCGGGTGGTCCAGTGGTTAAGAATCCGCCTTGCAACGCAGCGGAGGCGGGCCCGAGCCCTGGTCTGGGGACTAAGATCCCGCGTGCCACCTGGGCATCTGAGCCGCGCGCTGTAGAGCCGGCGCCGGGCAGCTAGTGAGCCCGCGTGCCCCAGAGACGAGCCTGCCTGCTGCAACTAAGACCCGGTGCAAGCAAAGAAGCAACTAAATTTAAAAAAAAAGAAAATTTCTTAGGTTCCACGAAAGAGCTGATGTTTTAGTTTGTAGATTTTTTTACTTTGAAAGAAAATAACTTGGGCATTGGATTCGAGGTTCTAAGTTATTTTCAGGTTGGTTTATAAGATGCGGAGAGAAGTAAAAAAAAAAGCTTCTATTGTTTGACTTTTTTTTTTTTTTTTATAATTTCAGGCAGCATTTTCATTAACCAAACTTCTTGAAGCTGCATCTGCTGTATCAGCTCAAGTGGAAGAGCTTGCCTTCAAATGTACAGAAAATGCACGTTTCCTTAGAACGTGGCGGGACCTCTTGAAAGAAGGCTATGATTCCTTGAAGCCTGACAACTGATTTGACTGTAATAATCCATACCACCTCATTTATGATGTGTGCACATGTACCGTGTGGATAGGATAATCACCAGCAGTTCTGTATACAGAAGATGAAATTTTTCTTGGTTTTCTTCATTTTGTGAAAACAGAATATGATGTTATTTTTGATGCTGGCCCGTTTATCTTTAAGCATTTTCTGTTCTCTAAACTTTCAAAGATTCTTCTATGGAAGTTAATTTAATCAGTAGATAATATTAATAATGCCACAGTGCTACCAGTAGCAGGTGGACCATTATTCTCTTCAGTTTGCAAGAAGATACCAAAAATGGCAGAGTTTGAAGTCGAGCTTTATTATATGGACCAATGTTAGATTCAGCTCCATTAGGCTAAGTTCCCTAGAACCAGTGATTGTGTCTTATTACTTATATATGTCCAGCAGCTAGAAGTCTGTTACACAACAATCACTAAATGTTTGATGAATAAGAGTTGACAACGTAATTAAAATCTGTTTTTTCTTCCTGTTTTTAGCATAAAGATTATAATTGGTTTTCGAAAAGGTATTTGAGTCAGAACCTCATTGACCTGAAGGAAAATGTTATCTTTTTTTTTAAAACAGGATTTTGAACTTTAACTGTTGACAGCTTTTTAAAATATATGATAAATATTTTTCACCCTTCTATGATGCTTTCCAAAAAAGCTTTTACTGAAACCCGTCTTGAAAGAATGCCTACTTTTTCCCTAAGGTTAACTGCTTTTATGGATATTTCTCATATTTGATGTTGTTATATGTTTGCTCTCTTTAAAGTGCCTTATCAAAATTGTGGCTCTGTATTATTTTGGAGCTTGGCAAGTAATAATTCTAAATTCTAAATATAATAATTCTAAACAAGTTACTTTTTAAAAATGCATCAAATTTAAATGGTGTAATTATTTTCCTATTATTCGATCTTCATGACAGTGTTCTATTTCACTTGTCCCGTATCTTACGTTGCGCTCCCTCTCTCTCTCTTTCTCTTTTTTGATGGGTTTGTGTCGTATATGTCAGTGACTGAACCAACTAATTCTCTTGCTGTGTAACTTCTGGATGCCTCCGATACAGTATCTTACTTCTTTGTAGGTAAGGAGGTATGTACAGAACTATATTCCCAAGCCCCACAATGGGCCTGTGAAAGGGGACACATGGATGGGCAAAGGATAGTTTTGTTTAGCATATTAGGTCATGGTTCGTGATTAATTTTTTTAAGTTAAGGATAACACATATGGTGTGTTCCTATACCAAAGAGATGCTTGTTTTGATATTAGAAAACTGTTTTTCTTATGTGTCATGAAAATTGCAATTTTTAAAATGTACAAAAATAAACTTTTGTTCAAACCAAATGTTATTTCCATTTCTTTGGGTTCATTATTTTAAAACTTTTTACTGAAATATTTCAAACCTAACAGGAAAGGTGAATGATTTGAAGAACACCCATGTATTCTCACTGTGTGGATTTACTGAATTAGCATTTGGTATGTTTTCTTCAGATCTATGCATGTATGTAAATGTTAGATGCATTTGAAGCTTGTTTTGTTACCTCTTTGATCCCATCCCCTTCTTCTCTCCCCAGAGATAACCACTGTCCTAGAGGTGGTGCATATTCTAGTTTGCGTTCTTGTATTTTTAATACGTATACACGTTTTCATAACACTGCAAAGTACTGTCCTGAAACTAATACTGTAAATCAACTATACTTCAGTTTAAAAAAAAAACTACTATTTTGTGTATGTAGTAACCAGCCTCCAGAGGGCCCCAGTGGTCTTCTCTCGCCTGAAACCCATGGCCCTGTAGAGTCTCCCACGTTGAATAGTGCTGACTTGTGTAAGTACCAGCCTATTGAGGAAATGCAGTGTGATTTCCCAGACCATACCTTTTGTCCATTTTTCTGTTATGTTTTGTGTTTCCCTTATGGATTTGTAGGTATTACATATTTTGAATACTAACTAATGATCCATTATGTATGTTTCAACCATCTTTTGTAGTCTGTGGTTTATTTTTATATTTGATTATAGAGTCTCCTTGAATAAACGTTTTTCATTTTAATTTAATCTCACCAATCTTTCATAATAGTGTTTTCTGGGTCTTGTCTAGGAAATGTTATAAAGATGCTCTCCTATATGTCTTTCCAAAAGTTAAAAAAGTTTGTTTTTAATGTTTAGGTGTTTAATCCACCTGAATTTCTTTTTGCTTATGGTTTAATTTTCGGGTCTTGTTTTGTATGTGTATAGGTGTTCCTCCAAATACCATGTTTCAAATGCTACATGTCATTCGATTGCCATATAAATGCCTCAGTCTGAGCTCTCTATTCTTTTGATCTATTTGCTTGATCTCAAGCTAAGATTTCCTGTAACTTCCCGTTTTGGCTGTATCATGAGTGTGATCTGTACTACTTTGGTTTTTGTGTGAGTTCCTCTCCCTTCCTCCCCCATGTATGTTTTTTTTAAGTTAGAAAAAGCATGTTAGTTGATTTCTAATTTTATTTCATTGCCATCAGCTTGGGCTAACCCTGATTTCAGGCACTGAGCCATCTATGGACACTTTAGTTAATTCCTCTACCAAACTTATAGCTGCTAATGTTGGAGCTCACAGGCCTGCAGCTCTGCTCTGCTTATAGTTTCTGTTGCCCGGTAGGGTCCACAGAGAAGTTCATCTTATTTTCAAGAGTGGCTTTTAAAGAAAATCATCCCGTTTTATATTTCTTTTTGCTCTGCTTCATGGGAGAGATTGGGGAAGAGCTCAGAGCATAAACATTTCTTAAAGACTTCAGAAAAAAATTTAAACTTAGTAGCTCATTGCCAGCTCTATACAAACCTCAGACAATTTATTATTCTGACTGATGTAAACTTTTAAAAGCCTCAAGAGGCTGAAGTCAATAAGATGGAGTTTTTAGCATTAAAATAGTGTATTTAGTTTCAAAAGTTCCTAGTATGAAATATGCATCAGACAGTATGCTGGGAGCTTTATAGACATTATTTCATGTAACCATATTAGCTCTCTGAGGAAAGTGATATTATTCCTATCTGCAGAATAGAAAACAGGCTGAGATGAAATAATTTGCCTGAGGGCCTCTGACACCAAAACTAATATGCTTGTCTATAACATACCTAGCTACCTAGCTTTTGGTTAGACCTATTAATATTCAAGGTTGTGATTTTATTTACTCTTCCCATGCGATGGTTTATGTGTCAACTTGGCTGGACCACAGGGTACCCATATATTTTGGCCAAACATTCTGGGTGCTTGTGTGAGGGCATTTTTGGATGAGATTAACAAATTGGTAGCCTGAGTAAAACAGATTGCCCTTCATAATCTGGGTGGGCCTCATTCAATCAGTCGAAGGCCTTGGAAACATAGCTCTTCCTGCCTGATGACCTATGAACTGAGACATTAGCTTTTCCTGGTTCTACAGAGCTTCTGGCCTTTGGACTTGAACTAGAACATTGGCTCTGCAGGTTTTTGGACTTGCCAGCCTCCATAATCACATGAGACAATTCCTTATAATAAATCTCTTTATATATGTAAATATATATATATATACACACATTTGTTGAAAGCCTACCACATTCTTCATGTGGAAAACGTATTGGTATCATTCCTTGTAAGAACAGAAATGACTCAAACAAGCCATATTTTTAACAGAATTAAAGTTCGGGTAGTTTATTTTCAAAAGAAATCTATATAATTATTCAATAAATTTGTTACGTTTTTGATTCCAGTATTTTCATGTTTCAGACATTTGGGGGGTATTTAAAACTACCTGAAAACATTTTATTCCTGTGTAATGTTTTCAAATTATGAAAGCAAAAAATTTCAATAGCTCAGAGCTAAAAAGTATCTGGTGAACTTGCTGACCACATGAACAGAAGGTAAATTCATCCCCTGATGACTTTCTCTGTAGAGTAAAAATGTCCTATAGAGTAAAACATGCGGATCTTTTCCCCCTGAAGTTCAGGTCCTGAATCATGCATTATGGCCCTTTTTTTCTTTTCCCTTAACTGCTTTATTGACATATAATTTACATACCATAAAATTCACCCATCTAAAGTGTGCAATTCAGTGGCTTTTCATATATCCGCAGAGTTGTTTATCTACCACTACAGTCAATTTTAGAACTTCTTTTTGCCCAAGAAGATACTCTGTACTTCTCAGGCATCATCTCCCCAACCCTCCCACCTCAGTAACCTCTGATCTACTTTGTCTCTATGAATCTGCTTATTCTAGATATATCATGTAAATGGAATCATACAGTCATTTGAACTTTTTGTGCCTGGTTTATTCGCGTTCATTGTGTTATAGCATGTGTCAGAATTTATTCCTTTTTATGGCTGAATAATATTCCATCATGTATACACCACATTTTGTTTATCTGTTCGTCAGTTCACGGGCACTTGGGTTGTTTCCATCTTTTCGCTGCTGTGAATAATGCTATGATGAGTATCTGAATACAAGGATCTGAGTCCTGTTTTCTTCTGGGTTTATACCCAAGAATGAAATTGCTATATCATATGGGAATACTATGATAAGCTTTTTTTTTTTTTTTTTTTCGGTATGCGGGCCTCTCACTGTTGTGGCCTCTCCCGTTGCGGAGCACAGGCTCCGGATGTGCAGGCCCAGCGGCCATGGCTCACGGGCCCAGCCACTCCGCGGCATGTGGGATCTTCCTGGACTGGGGCACGAACCCATGTCCCCTGCATCGGCAGGCGGACTCTCAAGCACTGCGCCACCAGGGAAGCCCTATGATAAGCTTTTGAGGAATCACCAAACTGTTTTCTACAGTGACTGCATCATTTTACATTCTGACCAGCAATGTAAAAAAGTTTTCAATATCCACGTCCTTGCCAATACTTGTTATTTTCTGGTTTTGTTTTTCTAAATTATAGCCCTCCTAGTACGTGCAGTGTTATCTCATTATAGTTTAATTTGTATTTTCCTAATGATTAGTGATATTGAACATGCTTATTGGCCATTTATGAATCTTCTTTGGAGAAAAGTCTATTCAAGTCCTTTGCCCATTTAATAAATTGGGTTGCTTGTCTTTTTTGTTGAGTTATAAGAGTTCTTTATGTATTCTGGACATTAAACCCTTCTCAGATATATGAATGAAACTTCTTTCATTCTGAAGATTGTCTTTTCACTTCTTTTAATAATGTTTGTTGATGCACAAAAGATTTTAATCTAGATGAAGTCCAGTTTATCCATTTTTTTTCCTTTTGTTGCTCATGCTTTTGTTGTTATATCTAAGAATCCATTGCCAAATCCAGGGTTTGGAAGATTTCCCATATATTTTCTTCTAAGTGATTCATGTCATATTTATGTCGTCAATTCGTTTTGAGTAAGTTTTTGTATACGGTGCAAGGTAGGGGTCCAAATTCATTATTTTGCATATGGATATCCAGTTGTCCCAGCACCATTTGTTGAAAAAACTGTTCTTTCCCCATTTGATTGTCTTGGCGTCTTTGTTGAACATCAACTGACTGTTAAATATGAGGGTTTTATTTCTGGACTCTCACTTCTGTTCCACTGATCTAAATGTCTATCCTTGTTCTGGCTTTTCTGATTCATTCCTTTGCCATACTTTTATTCTCTTTTTATGATCTCATATAATGGTGCTCATTTAAAGCAAAAAGACAACTGGGAAGGAAGTGACAGAGAGGTGCTGTTTTGAGTTAATATCAGATCTCTTTTTTCATAGTAATAAATATGTTTATTGGCTCTCAAGTATACAGACTTGAAGAGAGGTAAGATGAGTTCTTAAAACAAAATGTCTGTACTTTGCTAATAATCAGACATTTTTTCTGATGCTAGTATACTGATTATTCCAAAACCATAAACCTTTATTTAAGAGTGTCTGTGATTCTTACTTTTGCTGGTAAGCAAGACAGATAAAGCTCTACCTTAAACTAGGAGCTGCAGATGGACTTTTTATATTCTTGTAGTTAAATACAACTTAACATTGCAAATTGAAAAGATTCTATACTGTCTACTCCCAGGAATTTACTGCAGTGCCATGCACACAGTGGGTACTCAATAAATGCATGGTAAAAGAATGAATGAACCTTGAAGTAGATTTCTCTTAGTTTCCTATCCAAAATATGTATCAGTTTATACACATTATCAATATATTTTATTTCCCTTTACATGGGCATCTGTCATTTTGATTTTTTCCCAAATAACCTCATGTCCATGTAAGCTAATTTATTTTAGCCGTTATAAATTATTTTGTGGCATTTATTTTATACTAATAAATCCATCATAAAGCATCCCACAATATTCTCTGTGTAGAAATAGGTTTCAGTCGGTTATGAATAGGAATTGAGTCTAGTTGATTGAGAAATGAGTGATAATTCACAGGGGTCTGTGAAAAGAGCTGGCTTCATTAGCTCAGAAGGCATCTCCTGCAGGGGCCACATTTCTACCCAGATGAACGATGGAGCATATGTCTTCTGACTTCCTTTGCTGTCAATAGATCTTCTCTGTCTGTAGTTATACCAAAACTGATGGATCATTTCTTTGAATGGTCTTGTGGTCAGAGTATAGAGAATTGGGTTCAAAGCACTGTTGATAGGCAGAATAAAAATCACTACCCAAGACGTTATGGTACCTGGAAGAGAAAAATGAAATTCCTTGAGTGTTTATGGATGTTTACAAGGTATGGACACACCTTGTCCTTGTTTCCCCTAACCCCCCCAGCCCCCCACACTGACTTTTGAGTCTTAATTTTTTTCCCCTTAATGTCACATAATTAAATACCAAGTCTGTATGTGTTTCCAGGATGCCAGTGTTTGAGGGAGGTGCTAACACTATCAAAAACCAGGTTTTTTTGCTAAGTAGCTTTTCTCGAATACATCAACAAAAGTATTCTATTGGGTAGAAATGTGTTTTACCAAGTGATTATATATTACTTGGATATGATTCCATCTTAGGAAAAACAATATTGTTTAGTATTTGAATCATACCTTTTCAAGTGTTTTAATTATTAGATAGTACAGGTAATATTTCTCAGAATATATAGACTTAGCTTTAATAGATTTCTTTTCTGCTATTTATTTGGTTTGAAAAACAGGTATGCATTTTTAGGCTTTTGACTAGATATTTATTTCAGTAAAAACATCTTTGGCTAACCTTATCTTAAAATTACTGCAGTATATATGCAACTACCTAATACTCAGATATTTATTATAATTTAATTTATGCTCTCTTCCCTCTTTTACTTATAAAATGTAAGGCACTATCGCCACCAACCATGGGATAAAGCAAAATTAAAGTTGTATGTTTATAAATTTTTAAAGTGTGAATATATATTGCAGTATACTTACAGCTAACAGGATTTTATACATTTTTTTATTGTGGTAAAATATACATCACATAAACGTTTCCATTTTAACCATTTTTAAGTGCACAGTTCAGTGGCATTAACTACATTCACATTGTTGTGCAACCATCGCCACCATCCATTTCCAAAACTTTTTCATCTTCCCACACTGAAACTCTGTACCTTTAAACACTCCCCCTCCCCCTCCCCCCTCCTCCCCCCAATCCTGACAACGCCATTCACAAACTTTTCGTCTCTGTGACTCTTGACTACACTAATTACCTCATATAAGTGGAATCCTACAGAATCTGTTCTTTTGTGACTGGCTTGCTTCAGTAGCATAATGTTTTCAAAATCTATCCATGTTGCAGCATGTATCAGAATTTCCTCCCTTTAAAGGCTGAATAATAACCCATTGTGTGTATATAACTCATTTGCTTTAAGCATCCGTCCATTGATGGACCCTTGGGTTGTTTCGCTCCCACATTTTGGCTACTGTGAATAATGCTGTCATGAACATGGGTGTATGAATGTCTGTTTGATTCCCTGCTTTCAATTCTTTTGGGTATATACTCAGGAGTAGAATTGCTGGGTCACACGGTAATCCTATGTTTAAGTTTTTGAGGACCCACCATACTGTTTTCTACAGCAGCTGTGCCATTTTACATTCCTACCAGCACAAGAGTTCCAATTTCTCCACATCCTTGCCGGTACTTGTTATTTTCTGTTTTTGAGAACGGCCATCCTAATGAATGTGATGCGCCTTATTTTTAAATATCAAGAGTGCCTTCTTCTGTCGTCTCTCACACTCTGGGGTAATGTTCCCTAAATTGCTATGTATTTCAGGAAGAAAAATTTCTTATGTTCTAAAAAAAAAATGAAGTAATTATTTGATAATCATTTTGACCTGTGTTCCTTTCTGGTCATCTTAAGCATGGGATTATCAGAATTTCAACACAGTGAGTATAATTTATTGGAATCATTGTTCCTTTGTTCCCATAGTCACTATGTTTTTTGGCATTTGTGGAAAAAATTGAACACGTGGCAGCCTCCAGCTTGCACCAGGAGAAGCTGTAGCCCCCGCCATGCTCTGGCTCCAGCCCCCCACCCCTCAAGGCAGCAGCTGCCAGTGGCCCAGGAGAAGCCCTGGCTCACATGGGGCTCTGACTGTAGCCCCTTCGTCTCCAACCCCCAAACCCCCACCAAGGCGATGGGCCTGACATGCCCCAGGAAAACCCTTGCGCCTGTTTGTTTCAGATTCAACTCTCCCACCAAAGCCACTGGGCATGTGCAGACCGCATAGGGGTGCTCCCACATAAGGACACAAATCAAGCTCAGGATAGGCAACTGTTTTGCCTAATTTCACAGAGACAAACAGAGAAAGTCAAACAAAATGAGATGACAGAGGACTATTTTCCAAATTAAAGAGCAAGATAAAACCCCAGGAGAAAAACCAAACGAAGTGGAGATAAGTAAGTTACCTAACAAAGAATTTAAAGCAATGGTCATAAAAATGTTCACCCGCCTTGGGAAAGGACTAGAGGAGCACACAACTGTAACAAAGAAACAGAAAATGTAAAAGAGAACCAATCAGAGCCAAAGAATGCAATCACTGAAATGAAAAATACACTAGAGGGTATCAACAGTAGAGTAAGCGATACAGAAGAATGAAACAGAAGAATCCTTAGCGACCTGGAAGACAGAATAGTGTAAATCACTCAATCAGAATAGCAAAAAGAAAAATATAACTTAAAAAAAATGAGGATAGTTTAAAGGACCTCAGAGACAGCGTCAGGTGTACTAACATTTGCATTATAGGGTTCCCAGAAGGAGAAAAGAGAGAGGAAGGGGGCAAAAAATGTATTTGATTAAATAATGGCTGAAAATTATTTAATTTAACCTGAAGAAGGAAGCATCCGATCCAGGAAGCACATAAAGTCCCAAACAAAATGAACTCAAAGAGATCCACACTAAGACATATAATAATTAAAATGGCAAGAGTTAAAGCGAGAATTTTAAAGGCAGCAAGGGAAAGGCAAAGAGTCACATACAAGGGAAACCCCATACGGCTACCAGCTGACTTTTCAGCAGAAATTTGCAGGCCAGAAGGGAGTGGCATGATATATTTAAAGTGTTGAAAGAAAGGAAAAAACCTATAATCAAGGATACTGTACCTGGCAATGTTATCATTCAGAATTGAAAGAGCAGCAGCCACATAGCACAGTGAGATCAGCTCGGTGCTTTGTGGTGACTTACAGGGGTGGGATAGGGAGGGTGGGAGGGAGGCTCAAGATGGGGGGCATATGGGGACATATGCATGCATATGGCTGATTCACTTTGTTGTACAACAGAGACTCACACAGCATTGGGAAGCAATTGTACTCCAATAAAGATGTATTTAAAAAAAAAGAGTTTCCCAGCAAGCAAAAACTAAAAAAATTCATCACCACTAAACCAGCCTTACAAGAACCGTTAAAGTGAAAAAAAAAAGGCCGTAATAAAAAGTAAAATATATGAAGGAAGAAAATCTTACTGATAAAGGCAAATATAGAGTAAAGGCAGTGGATCAAGTACTTAAAAGAGCTAGTACTAAGATTAAAACCAAAAGTTTGTAAAGTCAAAATCAACTATAATTACAATAAACAGTTAAGGGATACATATAAAGATGTAAAATATGATATCAAAACAAACCTTCAGGGGGGAATAACAATGTAGAGCTCTTAGAATGCATTTGAACTTAACTATCAGTTTGTGTGTGTGTGTGTATACATATATGTAATATATATATAATATATATATTATATAATATATATATTATATATATATTACATATATATATATGGCATGGTAACTACAAACCACAAAACAACAATAGATACACACACAAAAAAGGGAAAGGAACCCAAATATAACACTAAGGGAAATCGAGGGAATATGCTAAAAGAAGACAAGAACAGAGAAGAACTACAAAAACAACCAGAAAACAAGTAACAAAATGACAGTAAGTACATACCTACCAATAACCACTTTAAATGTAAATGGACTAAATGCTCCAATAAAAAGCCATAGGGTGAATGAATGGATTAAAAAACAAGCCCCATCTCTATGCTAGCTACAAGAGAGTCACTTCAGAGCAAAGATACACACATTCTGAAAGTGAAGAGACAGAAAAAGATATTCCATGCAAATGCAAATGAAAAGAGAGCTGGGTTAGCAATACACATATCAGACAAAATAGACTTTAAAGAGAAGTCTGTAACAAAAGACATAGAAGGGCACTTATATAATGATAAAGGGGTAAACCCAAGAAGAGGCTATAACATTTGTAAACATATGTGCACCTAACATAGAAGCACCTAAATATGTAAAGCAAATATTATCAGACATAAAGGGAGAAATTGACAGTATTAGAAGATGGTAGGAGACTTTAATACCCCACACACATCAAGGGCTAGATCATCCAGACAGAAAATCAATAAGGAAACAGTGGCTTTAAGAGACACATTATACCAGTTGGACTTAATAAATATCTACAGAACATTCCATTAAAAACAGGAAATTACACATTCTTTTCAAATGTGCATACAACATTTTCCAGGATAAATCGCATGCTAGGCCACACAACGAGTCTTAGTAAATTTAAGAAGGCTAAAATCATATCAAGCATCTTTTCCAACCACAATAGTATGAAACTAGGAGCCAATTATAGGAAGAAAAGTGGGAAAACACAAACGTGTAGACTAAACAACATGCTACTAAAAAACCAATGGGTCAACAAAGAAATCAAAAGGGAAACAAAAAATTACCTTAAGATGAATGAAAATAGAAACACAACCCTCCAGAATCTATGAGACACAGCAAAATCAGTTCTAAGAGGGAAGTTTACAGTGATTCAGGGACACGCCAAGAAACAAAAAAATCTCAAATGGACAACCTAACTTTCTAATGAAAGGAAGTAGAAAAAGAACAAACAAGGCCCAAAGTTAGTAGAAGGAAGGAAGTAATAAAGATCAGAGCAGAAAGAAATAAGAGACTAAAAAGTAGTCAAAAAGATCAGTGGAACTAAGAGTTCGTTTTTTGAAAAGATAAAATATTGCTAAATCTTTAGCCAGATTCATCAAGAAAAAAAAGAGAAGGGATCAAAATAAATAAAATTAGAAATGAAAAAGTAGAAGTTACAACTGATATCACAGAAGTACAATCATCAGAGAATACTACTAACAGTTGTATGTCAACAAATTGTACAACTTACAAGAAATGGATAAATTCCTAGAAACATAAAAACTTATAATAGTGAATCAGGAAGAAATATGGAAAAAGGTATTCCATGCAAATGGAGATCAAAAGAAAGCCAGAGTAGCAATACTCATATCAGACAAAATAGACTTTAAATGGAAGACTGTTACAAGAGACAAAGACTGACACTACCTAATGATCAAGGGATGAATGCAAGAAAAGGATATAACAATTATAAATGTATATGCATCCAACATAGAATCACCTAAATATACAAGGCAAATATTAATGGACAGATTTTTTATTTCTTTACAGGAAGAAAAAATTCATACCTGGTATTTCTACCTGAAGCAATGACAGAAATTTCAGTATAAAGATGGGTATCCAGCATAATGCATCGGTAAAAACAATAAAGAAAAAACGTTTGGCAAGGATCATCTCTTTCCTAACTTGATTCCGTACTTCGGTTGCTGTTATGGCACTTTGATGGATGCTGTAAAACATGCTTCCATAGGAAAAAACTATGGTGATAAATGCTGCTAAGTTAATACCTATAAAGAACACAAAGATGATGATTAATGAATAAGCACATTCTTTCAGAACAAGCAAACATACCCTTAGCTGTCATTGTAAAGGAGAAGATACAAAGACCACAATGTGTTTTTTGTTCTTTGTAAGAATTACTAAGGCACAAAAATCATTAATTAAAAAATTCTAAATATTGTTGAAGCTATAAGAATGATGAAATGTTTATTTTTAAAATGGCATATTAAAATTAGATTATAGTGATTCAATGACTCTCTTGGGCTTATTAAATTAATCTGTCTTGTGTTAATTTTTTTGGTAATTCCATTACTTCGTTATATTTTGAGAATAGTTTTCACAAGAGGACATACTTGGTTGTCTGCTCCCAAGCCAAAGACTTGTGTGGCTACTTTGGATTTGTTCATATCATAAAGGCAAAAAGTTAAAATATGTTTTCCTTAGTATTATTAGGGTGATTGCATGAAATGCAAGTGTTTAGCATCTTGTCTTTTATTCAAGTGTATCATATAAGAATTGATATGATGAAGTGGTAATTTAGAAAAAATAATCCCTTTAGGGGATTCTGATACAATCCACCCTCAATGTCCATTCTGGTTAGAAGATCTGAAATAGAAAGTTGTAAATATTAAAAGGCATAATGAGATTCAGATTGTGATTTATTCTAGCATTTGTATGAAAGGGCTTCTAATACAGAGTTTCTTACCGAGAAAAATTGCCACTGAATAAATCTGGGCTCCAGTACTTTCTGTATCTTCTGAATGAAGAGGGAAGCATACCCCATTGGTGCCGTAGTAGTTTTTGAAAAATTCTTTATTGCTCAGTGGAATGAAAGCCACGATAAAACCGATAATCCAAATGAGAATCAAAACTGTAATGGTTCTGCATTTTCCAGGTTTTAAACACCTGAAAGGATATACAATGCAGATATATTTTTCCACTGTCAGAAACGTTAAAAGTAACACTGATACTTCCGTGGACAGAATGGCCAGGGACCCCAGGAGCTGGCAGTGAATACTCTCCATCCACAGCTGTGCGTGCTTGTTGTATTCTCCTCGAAACTTCAGGTCAAAGGCTCCGATCACAAACAAATAGATTCCCATCAGGCAGTCGGCACCTACAGGGATCAGTGAATTTCACAAATTTAGAGAAATAAATAGGTAAGATGGAGTTATCATTAAGCAGAATTTTTTAAAAATGTATTTATCTAATTATTTTTGGCTGCCTTGGGTCTTCGTTGCTGCGCGCGGGCTTTCTCTAGTTGCGGCGAGTGGGGGCCACTCTTCGTTGCGGTGCACGGGCTTCTCATCGCGGTGGCTTCTCTTGTAGCGGAGCACGGGCTCTAGGCGCACGGGCTTCAGCACTTGTGGCTCGCGGGCCCTAGAACACAGGCTCAGCAGTTGTGGTGCACGGGCCTGGTTGCTCTGCGGAATGTGGGATCTTCCCGGATCAGGGCTCGAACCCGTGTCCCCTGCATTGGCAGGCGGATTCTTAACCACTGTGCCACCAGGGAAGCCCCAGAAATATTTTTAATATTAGCCCCAAATAGCCAAGTTCCTTGTATCTTGGGGGCGGGGGAGGGAAGTTTTATTCTAAGAGTTCATTTATGGGTAAGGACCACTTCATCAACTCTCCCTGCTAAGCACTCTTAGAGCACCCTCTGCAGCCAATTATGTAATCATTCCTCTGTTTTCGTCTAATACACAGTCTGTAAGAGCAGGAGTCTTGTCTGTTTTGCTTTCTGTTCTAGTCCCATCACCTAGCAGTGCTGAGTAAATGAGTAAAATGCATGAGCATTCAATTAGGGACAAGATTGGGAAGTTATAATTTGGTTCATCTCTTCCATGGAAATTCTCCCAGCTTAAGAAACTTAAGTCATTCAAAATCCCAGAGAAAGTAATCCAGAAGTTGCTATGACAGAGTAATGACTATGAATTTTGAGGTCTGTCATTTTGAAGATGTGAATAATTATGAAGTGCTCTGTAGTCAGTATAATTCTGAGGGGCTTCAATGAGTCACCCAGGGGTGGTCGAAGCAAAACTGTTCTCTCTGATTCTTTCTTCCCATCTGAACATCTTTCTCTGTCTCTTTTCAGACTCCCCCATCCCCCACATCAGCTGTTAATGTGATACACTTCTTGGTGTATTTGCTTTTTAAGCAGATATTACATATCAGAGAGTAGGTGAGATTTTTTATTTGACCGCGCAAGCATTCTATACAACGATCCTAAAGTCACATCACGGTATACATCATAAGGCTGGCCCTAATCTTTAAACACCGAGGTTATCTTCCAGCCTTTATCAGGGAAATTGAGCAAACTCAAAATTGTGTAACTAACAATACAAAGTAGTAAACCATTTCTGAGTTCTGTTTCTTGGGTAGCTTGCAATGAAAAGACAGTTCGACATTATACTTTGAGTGAGGGCGAGGGTAAGACATGGCACAGCACTTGTAAAGAAGGAGAACATCGTATAGATTGATTCCTGCTTGAGGTAGGATGGGTAAATTATAGGCCACTTGACCAAGATTATAAACACCCTGAGGACTGGTTTCTTGCTTTTTTTTAATTAATTTATTTATTTTTGTATTCCTCATTTAACATAATACCTTGCAATCACGTTTCAAAAACTTAAAAAATTTAATACTGCCTAAAACACTTTCTTATTTAAATATTTCAAATTATGAATGGAAAAGAATGTAGAAGCTCAGAGACCAGAAAAACAACGTTTGAAGTCAGTATCCATGAACTGGACATTCAAACAAGAAATAAACACAGCTCTGGAACCATGAAAGGGTCCAATTTGATTATAGTAAAAGATTTTACATGCTTTGATAAAATATTATTTTATTAAATAATAAAGATATTATTTATAATATAATTTTAAATAAATTATTTAATAATATTAAATTCGCTTTCTTCATCAGAGAAGAAAGCAAATGAACAAAAGCTTCTTTATGAGAAAAAAATTAATGAATGAGCCCTTCATTAATCTGTGTAAGGTGGCTGAGTTTTCTTATTTTAAAAACTTATTTTCTTTCTTATCGCTAAAGTAATTTTATTTTCATTGTAGCGAACATGAAAACAACATATAAGCAAAGGGGAGAAATTTTAAAAATCTCATAATTCTACCGCTCTCGTTACTTATTGTCTAATAGCAACGCTTTCATATATTTTGAAACTGTTATTCCTCTTCAGCCAGGAAATACTCACAGCAGAGGGAAATGATCGACATGGCATGCAGCTTGTTCTCAGACCTGATATAAGGTCGCATACAGATGACAAAGATGTTTCCAAAGCATGTAACTGCAGACACAACCCAGACGAATACTCTCTGAATAATGCTCGCCAAGAGATCCTCTAAAGATGAGATTCCATCAGTGTTTGGTTTACAGCTGCGAACATGGGGTGCATAGCCACAGTACTGGAACTTCTTAAAATAGCTGACGTGCAGAGAGAAGGGAAAAGAAGATTTTAAACTGAAGTCAGTGTCACTCTACATTCATATCTATTTTCTACATTCTCTCAGTAGAAAGAAAACGTCTTAATATGAGACTCAGAGGAATGAAGGTAAAACATTAGGGATACTGAAGATTTAACCTTAAGTTTAATTCTCATTAACTTGGTTTTCAAAAGAATGTGTGAGTGAGAGCCGCAAAAAGACGTAATAAACATACAAGTGCTAGACATGTCTTAGAATATAAATCAAATGTTAGCATGTGATCAGGACAATCCACCCAAGGAAACTTGTTACTGGGTTTTCAGTGTTTAGTGCATGTGTTAATAAATCCACCGTTACATAACTCCTATGGTTGCTGCAACTGATTTTTCTTTTTCAAACCCAGGGGAAGAGAATTTGTCCTCTGTGTTTCTATGGCTTTTCTAGTATAGAATTTGTGTGATCTGTAGCTACTTGCTAACAACATGCTTATCCTCACGCTAGAGTTTGGTACATAATAGGGTGTTCGATAAATGTGTGTTGAGTGAATTCTTTCATCAGTAGAGAGACCTCCCTTGTTAATAAAACACCACCGAGATAATCAGTAATTACTACTGTGCTACCACCAACACCAGCACCGTTTATTGAGCATCTTCCAAGTATCAAGAATAACTTCTCAGATCAGCTCCATGAGCGTGATGTCAGTATCACCATACAAGAAGATGACTCTTCAATGGAGGCAAATTATCTGCTAGGAAATTTTCTAATAAATGCAGAAATTAGGATTTAAATTAGATATTTCTGCCCCTAAAGCGATGTACTCTGGCAAAAAATATAAGTGATCTTTATAGTATAAGGAGTTGTAGTAAAATACAAGATAAAAATTTGACAATTATAGTATATTGTCCTGTTGTTTAACTCTTGCTGCCTGGATCCCAGGATCTGCCGTGGTTTCTGCTCAATTCGGTTCTGCTCCTTGTTTCTTGGGTTTTGTGACCTACACCATTTTCTTCCAATAAACTCTGCTTTGCTTAATTTAGTCAGAGTGTTTTATGTTGTGTGCAACCAAGGAAACTTTTATAGGCATGCTCTCTGAGGAATTATGGGAAAAAAAACTCCCAGTATCCTCCGTTAGATTTAAAATACAAGCAAGATTATAGAGTGGTGGTGACTGCCATGACACTTTCTAAATTATTGGGAATTAATTACCTTGGCATGGAGACCATTCGAATATATTTCATATATATACTGCTATATATTACATTCAATTAAAGAAAATGTTTCTGAAGCATGTAATTGATGGCATGATGAGACACACTGTTTGAATAAAAGATTTTTCCTGGTTTACCATTTTATCCATACACTCTTGCACATCATGCCCTGACACTGTGGGCAATTTTCACTGAAGAGGATTTCTCTCTTCCCTTCCTCCATTTACATGAATTATTTATAATTATTTTATGTTGTTTATGTAACTTCTTCATCTGGTCACATTTGTGCCATGTGCACAAATTACTAGCTGAGTGGACAAACGTGACTATCAGTGAGTGGCATCAGGGCTCGGGAGAGTTTACAAGCCTGAGTGGGTTCCCTCCACACTCCTGCTGTCTGACATTCAGACAAAACTCCTTTCATTCTGCCAGATCATGGAGAACTAAAAATCACCCCACCCAATACCAACGCTTTAAGAGTTAATTATTGTTTAGGCAAATTAATCAGTAGAAAATGTTAATAGATTGGATGCATTGGGTATGGAGGTATTAGCACAATACATGTGGAAATGTAAAAGACTAAAATCAAGGTGAAGAACAAGAAAAAACATCTGCTTACATGTGAGAGAGATTCGTGAGAGGTCTAAACATCCTTTGTTGGATATTTGAAATTTCAATTCCTTCTAGGCTGCTAAAAATATCAAATTAATTATCAAAAAAATGCTATGCAGGGTATAATAAAATGAGTTTTTGTGACAGGCAGTTTAATAAAATTCTGTTAGTTAACACTTATTTGGAACCAAACATTCATACTTAACCTTCCCTAGGCACTTCCCCAACTCCTTTAAAAATGTTTTTATTAAAACATTTTTTTATTGAATGAAATATTCTTTAAATTCTACAGTGCTTTACAATTTTCAAAAGTTTCACACACATGATTTCATATGATCCCATAATAACCCATTTTTTTCTCCCAATGCCTTTTTGATTCTGCTATTTATATGTATATATCCTGCTTATTTGAATTTTTTGGCTTCTAATAGAGAGTGGAACAATGTTTTTTTCATAGTAACCACTCAATATATATTTTTGAAATAAATGAACAAGCATTATCTTTTAGACAATATTGCAATAGCAGAGGCATTTTACATTCTTGAAGTTTTTCTAATAATTTTAAATAATAAATGTTTTTCTAATAAAATGCCATTTTACCGAGGGAACACTTAAAAGAACTAAAGTTTACCTTCTTAAGGCAATTCTTAGACCCTAACATAATTTGTGTGTGTGTGTTTATGTGTGTGTGTGTTGCAAGTAATGACCTATATCATCTAGAACATTCCATCTTGGGATAACGATGGCTATAATAAATTCTTAGATACCCAGTGCTAATGAAGGAATAAATATGCATAGATGCCTTCAGAGGATCAAGCAAACAATCCAATATAAGCTTCTGGTGATTACAGAAATATATGAAATGATTAATCATTATCTAATTTGTGGCTTATAAATACGAAAGATTAAACTAATAGCTATCTGTTTGTAGACCAGCAAGCACTCATCTTATATGTTTTTCTGGAGTTTAACCAATATCCTGGGACTAAAGCTTCTGATTTGAGGTCCTATCAGTCTTATTTCATAGAATTTATTAGCTGCTAGTATGTAAATAAAAATTACATCATAAAACTATCCCCATAGGTGTATACTTACAGAGACTTGAGTTTGACAAGGTAATCAAATTGGTTTGCTTGAATTTTCTGGATTGGGTTATAGGAAAGATTCCTGTTTTAAAAAAAGAGCAGCAATAGGTCAATTCTTAAAAAGTATTTGAGTAAAGAGAAAATGTCTCTTGACTTAGGGTTACTTTTAAACAGTAACAAAAAAAGTACAACAATGTCACTTGACCCCTAGGGCTCGTTGGACATTCAAATGGATTAATGGAAACAGAACTCTTAGGCCAGTGCACGGCTGTCAGTAAGTGCATTAATGACAGAGCTGAGAGAATGGAAGCGTGAAGGTGGGGAGGTCCAGAGACGGTCCCACCAGAGGAGCAGCAGGGTACCCAAAGGGAAGCCACACCACTTTAGGTTTTGCCTATCATCAGGTGTGGTTTAAATGAAAGAAAGAAGAATCTCATTTAGTCAAAACTTGAATTAGTGAAATCACATTGAATGCTTTTTACAGTAAATCATGTCAAAGAGTGGCATATTGTGTTAGCAATTTGTGAGGCATGAAATGAAAAGTAAAAGGCTCTATAGTTAGAAACAAAGAAACAGAGGTCAGAGTGACAGTGTAGCTGAGTGTAAATGGAGAAAATTTCAGAATCTTTGCAAAACAACACCTTGAAATAAGAATTGTTGATTAAAGGGACCTTCTCAGGGCAGGTTCAATTTTTAAGAAATTTATTGCAGATTAGACCATTAGTTGGGTGGGGGAGGGGCAGTGACTACAGAAAGAAGGGAAGAGAGGAAGGATGACAATAAGAAATGTGTTGTATGAAAGAAGGGAAAGGGACTCAACAATCTATGAACAGAAGGAAACGACCTTAACATAATAAAAGCCATATAGGAAAGCCACAGTGAGCATCATAGCCAATGGTGAAAGGCCGAAAGCTTTTCCTCTAAAATCAGTAAGAAGACAAGGATGCCCACTTTTGCCATTTCTATTCAACATACTACTGGAAGTCCTAGCCAGAGCAATTAGGCAAGAAATAAAAGGCATCCAAATTGCGAAGGGAGAAGTAAAATTATCTCTGTTCACAGATGACATGATTTTATGTGTATAAAACCCTAATGATTTCACACACACATACACACAAAAACTGTCAGAACTATTATAATAAATTCAACAAAATTGCCATATGTGAAACCAACACATAATAATCAAACAATAATCAATAATCAAATGCATTTCTATACACTAACCATGAGCAATCCATAAAGAAAATTAAGAAAATGATTCCATTTACAATAGCATCAAAAGAACAAAGTACTTAGGAATAAACTGAATAAAGGTGAAAGACTTGCACTTTGAAAACAAAATGTTGCTGAAAGAAATTAAAGAAGACATCAGTTAAAGAAGACATTCTGTGTTTTGGGACTGGAAGACAATATTGTTAAGATGTTAATACTACCCAAAGCAATCTACAGATTCAGTGTCATCTCTGTCAAAATCCCAATGATTTTTTTTTTTGCATAAATAGAAAAATCCATCCTAAAATTCGTGTGGAATCTCAAGGGAACCTGAATATCTAAAACAACCTTGAAAAAGAAGAACAAAGTTGGAGGTCTCACTTCCTGATTCAAAACTTACTACAAAGCTACAGTAGTCAAAACAGTGTGGTGCTGGCTAAAAGATAGTTGTATAGAACAATGGAATAGAATGGAGAGCCCAGGAACAACTCTTTGTATATATAGTCAAATAATTTTTAAAATGTGCCAAGATTGTTCAATGGGGAAAGGACAATCTTTCCAACAAATAGTGCTGTGAAAACCAGATAGATATCCACATGAAAAAAAAAAAAGAGCTTAGACCCTTAGCTTCCACCATGTACAGAATTAACTCAAAATGGGTTAAAGGCCTAAATAGAAAAGCTAAAACTTTAAAACTCTTAGAAGAAGTCATAAGAGAAAAGCTTCATGACATTGGATTAGGCAATGACTTCTTGTATATGATACCAAAAACATAGGTAACAAAAGAGAAAAAAAACAAGAATTGGACTATATCTAAATCAAAAACTTTTGTGCATCAGAAAACACTGTCAACAGAGTGAAAAGGCAACCTACAGAATGGGAGCATACATTTGTAAATCATATATCTGAAAATGATTTAATATCTAAAATATATACACTCCTACAACTTAACAACAAAAACCCAAACAACCCAGTTTAAAAGCGGGCAAAAGACTTGAATAGGTATTCTCTAAAGAAGTTACATGAATGGCCAATAAGCACATGAAAAGATGCTCAACATCATTAATCATTAGAGAAATGCAAATCAAATCCACAATGAAACACCATTTCACATCCATTAGATTGGCGATTATCAAAAAATATAAAATAACAAGTGTTGTTAAAGAGGTGGAGAAAGTAGAATCCTTGTGCACTGATAGTGGGAATATAAAATAGTGTAGCCACTATGCAAAAGAGTATGGTGTTTCCTTTAAAAATTAAAAATAGAGTTGCCATATGATCCAGTAATTCTACTTCTGGGGTTATATGCCCAAAGAATTGAAAGCAAGCTCTTGAACAGATATTGAACACCCACATTCATAGCAGCTAAAAGGTGGAAGCCACCCAAGTGTCCACCAATGGATGAATGGATAAACGCCATGTGGTACTTACATACAGCGGATTATTATTCAGAATGATAATATTCAGAACTTCTGACACATGCTACAACCTGTGGATGAACCTTGAGGACATTATGCTAAGTGGAATAAGCCAGTCATAAAGGGACAAATATGTATGATTCCACTGATTTATGAGGTACTTAGAGATGCCAAATTCATAGAGCCAGAACAGAGTGATGGATGCTGGAGGGGCAGGGGTTGATGGGGAGTTAGTGCTTAATATGTATGGAGTTTCAGTTTGGAAAGATGGAAAAGTTCTAGAGATGGATGGTGGTGATGGTTGCACAGCAATGTGAATGAAGTTAATGCCACAGTTGTACACTTACAAATGGTTAAAATGGTAAATATACATACTTATGTATATTTTAATCACAATTTTTAGAAGTAAAATAAGTTAAAAAATAAAGGTACAAAATTCGTATCAGTCTTACAACTGTGAGAGCTCCTTCAGATCCTTAAAGACAAGTGATGAAAGATTTTCAATCTTATTACTTCCTAAATCCCTAGGGAAACAATTGCAAATGTCATATTATTTCCTTAAGACTTTACTCATAGTTCTGTAATTTATTAAAAAAACATTAGACTACTTTCAAATAATGCCATTAGTGAGTTATATTAATTAATAGAAGTCAAAACTTTAAAAAGGGAGTGAGATGGTAAAAGATAAAAATATCCCATTTTATTGCTCACTCAGAGACAGTACTTGGTGGTATTTGATCTAGTTCTAATAGATACAATTTTCTAATTCAATTAATATATGTGTTGTGCCCTTCTTCCTTTCTCCTCTTCCTCCCCTTGCTCCCTCCCTCCCTCCCGCCCTTCCTTCCTTTGCTAAAGTAGAAATACGCTTTGGAACCTTAATTTTTTCCTTTGCTTGGGTGTATTATAATTTTCAACTGGAAGTGGATTATTTCAGTTTCCAGTTTCTTCCACAGCTGATATACACTGGATCTCATACACACCTGGGGCAGAATATTTTGTATGTTACTTCATGTACGTATTAGAGGTTGGGCTACCTAAAGTGGTATGAACTTGTAGCTTAGTTGTGAGAAGATTTTGGACAGTAGCAGCTCTTCCGGTAGCTTTGACAGCGGCAACCTGTCAAAGCCTCAGATTCTTCTAAATAAGACAATCTTTCAATAGGCTTGAGTTCTTCAATGTCATCAAGAGATACTAAGAGAAAGCCTAACCACTTTCCCTGTCCATCTCCAAATCCTATTAGTTGCTACAGGGAGAAGCATGGGAATAGATCTATTTGTTATTGCAGTGCTTATAAATCAAAAGTTAGGTTATTCAACTTGGAAGGGCAAGATAGATTTAGACTGAGTTTTTAAAACTAAAAAGTAACTAATGTAATCAATATTATAAATGTCTTTGCTGTAAATGTTTTATTTTTATACTGTAAACTGAACCTTGAGGCTGTTTTTGTTATTTATGTTTCCATGGGTGAATTGCCTGTGAAGATAGATAGATGGTCTGATTTGACAACAAAAGGAATGTTTCTAAAATTTCATCCCTTAAAATCCTTCAATAGCTCATTGTTGCATAGAAGATAAAATCAAAACTTCTTAGTGTGATATAAAAAAAGCCTTTAAATATCTTGCCACTGTCTAGCTTTCCAGCTCAGTTTCCTACCACATTCTACTCAGTCAAAATGACTTTCACCAGGGCCTGAAGGCATCTCAGTATTTCAACCTCCGGGTTTTTGCACGGGTGCTTCCTTCTGCCTGGAATAAGCTTTGATTCTTGTCCTTCTGGTGAACTCCCTATTCATCCTTCAAGATTCTGCTCAGATAAACAACAGGGATTTACTGTACAGCACAGGGAACTATATTCAATATCTTGTAATACCCTGTAATGGAAAAGAATCTGAAAAAAGAATGGGTATGCATAACTGAATCACTTTGCCTACATCTGAAACTAACACAATATTGTAAATCAACTATACTTAAAAAAAAAAAAAGAGAGATTCTGCTCACGTGTCACTCCTCTGTGACCAGGGAGCTTAGGCGTTCTCTTCTCTGTTCTCCTGTATGTAGCATGGATAACACATACAGCACTTATAACATCATATTAAAACTGTTTCTGTACATACATTCTCCTCTTCTGAAGGATGTGATCTCTTTCAGAGCAAGCCCTGTACCTATTCAACTTGGGCTCTCCAGCATCTAGCTTAATTTTTGGCTAGCTATTCTTTGTATCCCTACCTAGAAGACCATTAACAGACTCGACCTGCTTCATATTTAGGTAAAAGTGGTGGCACAATTCCAGTTCTTTGTATGGGAAGCCAAGTAAAAGATGGATCACGTTAGTGAGGCAATGTGAAAAACAGATTTCGAAGAGTCCACGAGGATATTAAGTCTTGAAATATCACGTTTGGCTGTTTCTGGTGGGAGTCCTGTTTCGGCTATTAGAGCCAATTCTGACATATAGTTCTTTTATCATGAATCATGTAATGGGGAACATTTGGCCTAGACCCTAAGTGATGTGTGAAAAGACCATTTTCTCAGTTTCGTTTTAGGAAAGTTGGTCTAAACTTAACTGGACTTGAGGTCCATTTCTGAATGGGCTCAGGAAACACATTATCACCTAGAGTAGTTGACTTTAAAAGCACAAAGTAAATCAGGCATGTAGCCAAGGGTTTCTGCCATCAGAACTAAAGTCTACTGTGAGAAGTCAATCCTGATTACTGCCAATTTATTTGCCCTCATTAACTCTGTCAGTGGGATCAAGCCAGGAGAGGCACAGAGTGTAGTCCAAACCCTCTCTCAAAGGGAGGGTCACTCATTTGAGGTCTAGACCCACCCATTTAAAGCCATCACCTCTTAGAAAACATGCCATTTTCATCCCTGTAAATCCGATTTGTCAAGCCAGCGTTGGGTATGGGACTCGGCAGGGTTTAGGCAGGACTAATTCTTGGCCTTGGTGCCCCTCTCTGCCCCTTTGTTGCTCTTTCCTTTATCTCTGAACCTGCATTAGCACTGGTTACGGACCAAGCTGTTGTGTTCCATGCTCACTACTGGTTACTGATACTTAGAACCTGCACCTCAGCGCCACAATGCAAGTCAGGATTGGCAGAAATTACCTTCTGGTATTCAGATCACGGTGGCAAGTAGGATAAAACAAGGAAAAGCATGGACCCCTTGACGAGCATGTATTTTCATGGCTAGATACTACCTTTCGAGTCACCTACACGCACCTCTCCCTACTACTGAGAATAAAATAATTTCCTATGTGTTGATGGTATGGTTCACTTGCCAGACACTGGGAGCTGTTACAGCAGGTGCTTGGTTCTGATATCTATTGAGATTTTCTTGTGCGTTTTGTGAATGATTGGTACTGTCTACTGAAAAATGTTTCAAGCTAATGGTCATGGAAAAATGGGGTTTCAGTGGCTTGTTTATTGATGTTTTGGAGCACAATGCTTCATTGGTTCCCGAGGAACGTTTCTGTCTGTGACCTGTGTATTCCCTCCACCTGTCTTAGTTTGCAGGTAAGGTGTCCCGAGAAACAGTTTAGTTACACTCTTTAATTTTTATGGACAAGTTTTAATGAATCAAAGTTCTGCCCAGTTAATTGTCAAACATATACCTTCTGTCCATACTTCAGATTCTTTCTAGAACTCACAAAATCAAACTGGTGGCTAGCCTAAACTTTAGCAAAAACCCAGTTGAAGAAATTAATGGTAAAAAATAAAAAATTGTCTGAAGGACATGTACTTCATTTGTTGTCCTGTGTATATTTTATTTGGACAATCAGCTCCTATGTGCTTGGACCACAAGGCTTTGATTTATCAGAGAGTTGTCTTAATGTCCTTTGGAACTGTGTCATTGATCTTAAAAAAGGGACATTATAAATAGCTCTCTTTTCCATTATTATAGTCTGGGATGTTACCCATGGTAGTGTCTAATTTCCTTATGGATCCAAGATTATCCTTTGGTTTCAGAATCAGCAGAGTGGTGTCTTTTTATCTCCGGTTTTAAAATCCTAACTCTCCAGGAAACTTAAAGATAAATTTGCTATCCCTCTCCAGCAGTGGGTTAGAGTGGTGCAAGATGTATTTTATTTATTGATCTCCCCAGACTTTATTCTTTCTCCACAGCTATGTTTCCCTTACCTCACTTTCCTCAAATATTTATTTTATAGTTTTCCTTTACACATATTTTTTTAACTATCAGAATTCCTTTGTGGCTCAAGGTATGCAGAAATAGTGCTAGGAAGAGAGAAAAATAAATCTTTCTTAAGTGTATAAAAATGTATACGTGTGACAACTACGAACTGGAACAGTAGAAAGAAAATTCTTATCAATATATGTGTAATCGAGCTTACAATTCATCTAGTTTCTGGAGCGGTGCAAACGCGTTTTCACTGAGGTGATTAATTTTGTTTTTCCTCATTACCCTGAAAGTAAAAAGAAAGGGATGTTGTAGCTTCCAGAGGTAACTGATAGGTGAGTTATCGGAGAAACAAAGATAATTACGTGGAGTGCACTTTTCACGTCAAGAGAGGTTGAAGTAGCGTGATAAATTACCCAGTCTGTAATAACTTTAATTTCCCAGATCTTTCAATGATGATAAAAGTAAAGTAGTGCTCAAATTTCTAAGTGATTTAGGGAAGAGCTCCACAGGGGAAGAGTGAAAACCTTGACTCCTGAGAATACAGACTGAGCGTCAGCCCAGGGAGCTGCCTTAGGGTCGCCTCTGTAGGCTTCATGGTGTGTCTGTCGAACAAAATACCTCCCACACAATAGCACTGGTGCACATTGGGCAGTTGATGTGATTTAGGGTGGAGATGCTGCAGGAGGTCTACTTCAAGCTGGACCAACTCAGAAGATCTCTAGTTTGGGATGCTGAATGAGACTGTAAGTCCTGACAGTTCATCTCTGCCCTGACGTCGTGTTATGAGATAGCATAAAGGACTAACTCACAGGAAACCTTTAAAAGATTTCCAGTTCTTGAGGCATTGTGGGACATGCCTGGAACCTGGCCTCGTCCCATCCTTAAGTATTTATTTCCTCTCAGCACTCCAAACCGTTACCACTTTCTCCCAGCATCCTTGGACCAGAAAAACACAAGCATCTGCGAAGAGGAAACTCACGAATGATTTCTTCATACAGAGGGTTCTCTAAAAACAAATACAAGTAGAATAGAAAAGAAGGGCTACATTTTTTGGATATTTATTTGGCCTGTGTCCTTTAAGCGCAATTTGGTTTCCTTTGGGCAATTACCATGAACTGTTTTGCATGACTGATAGAATCCTGCATCTGAAGACTGCTAAACGCACTGCAGAAAAGTTCACACATTTCAGTGGCTTTGAGCCCACTGGAATGGGGCGGAGGGCATAACTGGGTAAAAATTTTTGTTGTGTCAGTGGTAGCTATTGCATTGCCCGTACACAGGGGTCCTGTATATCTTAATATGATGATTTTCAAACTTTTCACATGGTAACCGACAGTAGAAAAATGCATTTTGCATTGGGACATAATATACACCCACACAACCCAAGATTCATGGAACAATACATTTAATCATCTGAATTGTACTCTGATGTTTTTATTCAATTCAATTCTATTCTTTTTCATTTAAAAAATGTGGCTCGGGACATACTACATTGCTTTCATCACCTGCTTGTGAGTTTCAACCCACAATTTGAAAAATACTCTTCTGGAGGAATAAACTGCAAATGAGGCAGTTATACTTTTATACTGAAGGAAGCCCCAGTATCCCTCACTGTTATGGAAGAGGCACCCTGAATTTAAAGTAAGCCAGAGAGGAGTATAAGGAGAAATTATACTCGATAACATTCTAAGGTTTATCCTGGTGTCCGCAGTTACATCCTCAGGGGTGTGAACATTCTACAGTTTCTAAAAGTTATAATTAATTTCCCCCACGGTCTTTGCAGTAATAATTTTTATAGATTAGGACTTTAATTTGGTGTTTCTGAAACTGAGATCCAAGGGCAGATTCTAGGTGGTTTATGAGAAATGTTTTTTCCCTTAAATTGGGTCTTACTTGTAAGGTTGAGAAAAGCAGGTCTCATGTAAGATAGTACCATTGTGATGACCCACGTATGTTGTGAATCTGTGGTTATGCCTGGTTTGAACTTCAGTAATTTTGCCAATGTGCTTCCTTTTCAAAAAACTTCAAGTTGAGAGGGAACATTTGCTGTAATTACTATGCATGTTTATGCTAGATTCTGTTCGCATAAATGATTCATTTTATTTGTAAAGAGATAAAACGATACTTCAAAAGGACAAAACATTACTTACAAAACAGTTAAATTACTGCAGGATATAAAAGTCAAATTCCTTAAATTATGGATATGGTTGCCTTCAAAGTCCCTGAAATATAAAAATAAAAAATGATAAAGCTAAATTTTAATCACACACAAAAGTCAGTTAAGAATGATTTGTTTTCTAGTAAAATATCCTTTTCCCACGTACTGCTGATTTCATAGGGATTCTCACATAATGTAAGTGTAGCCACTTACATAATAGCCAAAATGATATATTTATATGTAATGTTTCTTTTTTTCTGTGTTAGTAGTAAAAATGTTTTGAGCTGAGTAGGTATGAGGTGTTCATATGGGTACATATGTATCCTAAGGAATGTGAAGAGAATGAAAAAAGGCACATGGAAAGTTTTTGTTGTGGTAACTACCAGCTATATAAACAGAAAGCACGTAGTGATCTGCATTGAACACCCGTCCAGAGGTACCACTGGCATTTCTCTGAGTGGCGTGACTCTATCTGCTACAGCCCGCAGAAGATTCTACCATTGCTGAGAAGAGGCTACCGCAAAACAGTGTTTAACCTCTACCTCCCTTGCCTAGACACTCGCAGAAAAGATTCTCCATAGCCTTTTACCCCTGAGAACACGCTTTCTTGCTTCATTATATGGCCACACGGGCCAGTGCAGAGGGAGACCCACAGCTGCCCTTGGCTCTCCACTCCCGACTCAGGGCGCTGCTTGCAGACCTGACTTGAGCTCCCTTGCTGTTTAATTGTCTCTGCTTCCTGGTTTTCATGAAAGCGTTCTTCTATTGCCTGTCTTTTATCTTGTCGTAGGGTTTATGGCGGAAGTTCATAGAACAGAGTTAGCCGAGCTCAGGGATACACTTTCAGAAGAAGATGCTGGCTCTTAGATCTACTCGTTTTACCCCAGCACTTAGCTTACCAGTCACCATACCACGTAAAGCCATTCAGGAACAATTGCCACTAAAATATCTGAGCTGAAGTCTGACACAGCTACTAAAATCTATGCGGGAAACACGAGTGACATTAATGGACACGCCTGTTTTTTCTGCTGGAGAGGCTGTATCTGGGAAACACGAGTGACATTAGTGGACATGCCTATTTTTTCTGCGGGAGAGGCTGTATCTGGGACAGTCAATTTTATTGTGGCACTGCAATAAAAATAGATGCTGACAAATCAAAGTCCATCTGGAAGATCTGGAAGGCCAGCATGTAAGCGTTCTAGAAATCAAGTCCATGGACTAAAAGGGTGTATTTACCACAGAGATGAGCAAAGAAGAGAGATATATTTGAAGTCAGGCATAGGGCTTTTCTCTGTTGCATCAGACTGCAAAATCAGATTTACTCGTTGAAGGACACAAAACATTTCAAATTTAAGCTCACAATCCATGGTGTCCAGAGAATAAGCTTCTTCTTACTATAGTGATCTAAGAAGGGCATATACTATAACAAGGTTTTTGTAGACAGGATTTCTGTACATATGGAATGTTGTGTTAAAATCTTAAATCTTGATTCTAGATCACCCTTGTAAAGAAAAACCTCTATTATTCTATTAAACTGGAAATAAAGCACTTGTACTATCTTTTTTTGATCATTAGGCTTGGCCAAGGCTTTTGGCCTTCCATAACGAAGGTTATGATTGACACAGACTGTTCTATTTCCTTTTCCTATTTTGTTGTTGTTACCAGGAATCTACCACCAGGGGGTGACCTTCTCCTAAGCCTCACAACATTTCTTGATGTTAGTTTCTTGTTAGTTACACCTGTAACTTTTTTTTTTCTATTAAGGTAGCAAAAATATTTACGTTAATATTAATTTACTATTTGTAAAAGTAAGAGGCATAAACTAGGGACTTTTGATTAAATTGTTAAATTCAATGTTGAGTTTATTTTAATCTTTATTTGTGAATTTGCTGTGGCTTTCTTCCTAAAATTAGAGGTTTTAGTTCTTGATATGCAGGGGTATGGCATACAAATCTGTTCCTTGTGCCTGGGCTCCAAGTTCTAATGGACCTGAGGGGGTGTTTTGCTTACTTAATGCCTGGATCACTTTTCCAACTTAATGATCCTCTGAATCTAACCACTTTATGTTTCCCTCTATACATGGCAGAACTGGCTGAAAATGAAAATTTGGTTCTTGGATCTGAAGAACAATAACAGAAAATAAAAACACCAAGAATCTTGCCCTCTCAATTCCCTCTCTCATCCCCTAGGGGCTTTTTGTAAACACGCAAATCTCCTCTCCCTCTACTTCCTCCCGTACTTTTCTGGCTCCTATCTCACAGAGAAAATTGAGGTGATGAAGGAGGGGAAAGCCTTCGCCTTTCTGCCCGACATCCGTGATTTACCTGTATGTGCACCTGGTCTCCTACCCAGGATGCGATGACCTCCTTCTGCTTTAGGCTAATCCCGCGTTTTCTGAGTTTTGTTTGTGAACGTGTATGTCCTAAATTACATGGTCAATTCTGGTGAATGTTTTTTGGGCGTTCTTCACTTTCAGTTTATATCTATTAAGATTAAGCACAGGTACATAGAACAGAGACCCAACTATAACAGCATAACTACACAAGGATTTAAAAAAAAGAATCTAGGGTTAGGTAGTCCAAGGCTAGTCTGGTAATTTTACTAAGTTGTTAGAAACCTAAGGTCTTTCATATTCACTGTCCACAGGTCCTTGTCTTTGTGTTCCAAGATGTTGCTAAAGCTTGAGCCATCATATCTGTCTTTTCTGGATAAGGAAAGAAAGGGAGGTTCTGCCTGTTTCTCTTTAAGGAGGTTGCCCAGAAGTTCCACACTATACGTCTTCCTCCTCATTAGTTAGGACTCGGCCACGTGGCTCTGTCTAGACGTGGGGAAGTCTGGGAATATAGTATTTTAGCTGGGCACTTTGCCGCCCCAAATAAATCTGTTCTGTTATCGAGAAGGGACTTTGCACTTTGATATGTGCCAGTTAGAGTTAACTCGTTAACTATGTTATTTAGTTCTCCATATCCTTTTTTTGGTTTTCCTTGATCTTTCACGGACTGAAAGAGGTGGATTATTATTTCTTACCGCTTATGTATGTCTATTTTTCTTTTGTTTTGGTTGTTATATGAATCTATTTGGTGCATATATATACTCCTAATATAATATCTTGTATTGGAAATTGCACACTATAGCATTTAAATGTCCTTCTTTGTACTGCTTAATGCAAATTGGCCAAACTTCTACCTACTTAGATAAAAAATGATGCCTACTTTCTTTGGTTTGCATTTACATGGCATACTTTTGAGAAGTCTTTTATTTTTAATCTTTCTTAATCACTTAGTTACAGCTGGACTTTTTTGTACATAGTACTGAGTTAGGTTTTGCTCCGTGATCCAACTTGAACATCTGTTTTTCTTTTTAGTAGGTAATTTTAGCCCACTTATGTTTATCGATCTGACGGATGTATCTTACCTTAGTCTGCTATTTAAAAATATTATTATATGGTTTTATAGATTAAAAAATCTTTCAACAAATGGCTTAAAACTTTTATTTATTCTAACATTGAAAAAGGCTTGCATATTCTATTGGTAACCTTTATAACTACAACTTTACCCAATACACCGCATCTTCTCTTTCTTAGAGAATAACAATAACACTTATCAATTTCCTATTATAAGAAATGATGGAATTAGTATGTGTTGTCTTCCTGACTTTTCTTTCATCTCTCTCTCTCACCATAGGATTTTTATCAATATACTATTTATTAATATTCACCTTAGGAATATCAAATATCCACATATTGGTAGATTTCTTAGTTTTAAATGACATCTCTTGACGCCAGGCTATTTTTCTTTATAGTTTTATGGTTTCACTTTATTCCTTTGAAACTGCTTACTCAGTTAAGATTATTGTGGCTCTTGCCATATTGAGCCCTGTATCATTCTGTGATATTTCTCTTTATCCCCGGTGATAGTCTTTGTTCAGAAGGCTATTTTTTTTCCAATGCTAACACAGCCCCTCCATCTTTTTAAAAAAATTAGTGCTGCATTTCTTATCTTTGTTTTACAGCTTGAATATCTCTGTTTTCTCTGGTTGTCTCAAGCTTTTTTCTTTGCTTTTCTTTATCTTTGGTTTTCAGCAGTTTGACTATGATTTGTCCAGTTTTTTTTTTTTTTTTTTTTTCTACTTCTGCTTGTTTTCTTTTCTGAGGTTCTTAGTTTTTTTTGGTTTTTTGTATTACATCATTTTAGAAAATTCTTGGTCATTATCTCTTCAGATATTTCTTTGAAAAATGAGCAGGACCCTATGTCCCCCACCTCTTGTTTGTAGAAAAGCTTTAGCCTCCTAGGCCATCCCTGAGTTCCAAAGAGGAGATTTAATCAGAGAAGTGAGAAAATGGTTAAACAAAGGAAAATAGTCAAGCAAGACAAAATACTAATAGTTTAGCCATAAAACAAATTCAAGGTCCTTTAATTCCTCCTCAAGGGCAATAGATAATACCCTGAGCCATATCCTTGAGTTGTTTTGCAGACACTAAAACCGTCACCAGGTGGAGAAAGTTAACGGCATGCTGATCACCAGCACATAGACCCCAGGCTGATTGGAACCAGAAGGTTGATGATTGAGATTCCTGTAATATCACCCTGTTACCTCACCACCAACCAATTAGAGAATTGTGCATGAGCTGATCACACACCTTGCAGTCCTCTCCATCACCCTGCCTTTAAAAACCCTTCCCTGAAAACCATCAGGGAATTTGGGTCTTTTGAGCATGAGCTGCCCATTCTCCTTGCTTGGTACCTGCAATAAATGCTGTACTTTTCTTCACCACAATCTGGTGCCAGTAGATTGGCTTTGCTGTGTGTCTGGTGAGCAGACTCAAGATTTTTAGTAGCATCTTCTGTCCTGTTGTCCTTCTCTTCTTTTGCTGTGACAACTTTAATGCATTTTGAGGCACTTTTATATTATCCTGTAACTTTTGGATTCTCTGTTCTATCTTTGTTTTACGCTCCGTTCTCATTTTGATTCAAATGAAAGCTTTCTATTGACCTATCTTCAAGGTCATTGATTCTTTTGTTAGCTGTGTTCAGCCTGTTGAAGTAATTCTCTGATTCTTTTTAAAGCTTCCATCTCTTTGCAGACATTTTCCATGTGTGCATGTTTTGCCCACCTTTCCCACTATATCATTTAACTGATTAATCATAAGTATTTTAATTTCCTTGTTTGGTAGTTGTAACATCTGAGTTATCTCTGGGCCTAGTTCTGTTGATTGCTTTATAATTTGACAAGGATTGTTTCTCGTGCTCTTTCTGGGATGGGGCTTTCTCAGCATAGTTGTCCCACATGCCCCAGAAGCCCCAACCCACTTGGCAACAGTGCAGGATCCTGGGCTGGAGAGGTTTATTTGCCCCTATTGCTGGAGTAGAGAGCTTTGGCTGCTATCGCTCCTTTGGAAGCAGTGGATCTATGCACAGTCCCGGGCTGCAGGAAGATTTTCTGTCCCTCTCCCCATGGTGTAAAGCTTTTCCTTCCTAAGAGGGAAGAGTCTAGGGGAGAAGGTGGGGTTTGTGCTGGCATGCCACCAAAGAAGACTCTGTCTGGTTTCCTTAATTACTCCCAGCTTTTTCCATGAGTGGGTGGAGGCCAGAGAAAAAGAGCCGGTTAGGAATAGCTGACTCCCTTGAGTGTGGGGTTCCCAGTATTCCAAAGGGTTACACTAGCCCACACTTAACCTTTACAGGTTTATTAAAATTTTAGCAGTTTTCTTTGTACCTGCTCTATGAGGGTCAACGCTTCACCTTGTGCTCTGCCAAAGGTGAAATACTGTATATGTCCCGTCTCTCTTGGTCACTCCTTAGAATTCAGTTTCCCTGCTTGCCTTATGACTGACAGGCTGGAGAAAATTAAGACTGTGTAGATTGTAAAGTCCTTCCTCATTGGTAGAGTGGGAGCAATATTGTCTTGAGGCTGCCTACAGCTTCAGCACAGCATTGTTGGAATGGAATTGTCATATATAATATGTATCCTTCCGTGACTTTTTCTTTATACTTCATATTATGATCTTGAAATTGTGCCGTGTCGATTGAAGCAGGGCAGGTGCATTCATCTTTATTGCACATGTGTGTGTATCCCATCTTATTTGTCCATCCTTTCCACGGCTTCCAGGACCTTGCTCCGTAATGCATCCTCACTGTTTTCCATGTTTACAAATTCTTTACATTAGCTTCTTCTGCCTATATATAAACTTGCTTTGTCTCATCCCTGGATAAAAGTTTACTTTACCCTCTTGCTCTTTAGCTCATCTTTGGCTATTGCCCCATCTGTTCATATGCTTATTTATTAGTTATATTCCTTCCTTTTTGAATTTCACATCTTTTAGTGTGGTGTTTATAGTCTTTTTTTATTGCTTTGAAAGAACTATATTAAAGGTTTTAATCTGTTGTCTGTTGTATATCTTGTGAATATATTCTCCTGGGCTGTCATATCTCTTTTTGTTTTATTTCTATTTTTCTACTTAACCATAGTTAAACAAACGTTTGCCGACACATCCAACAGATTTTCTAGTTTATACTTTGCTAAATGAAAGTTCATGAACAAGGTAAAGATATTGTAATTAATTAAAAAAATGAATACTTATAAAGCAAAAATTATTACTAGCATTAAAATTGGGACAACATTCACTCTCAGGGATGCATGTGGAGTGAGTTGTTTTGGATAGCTAAAATTTAAAGATTATAATTTTAGTAACAAAAATTTAAAAAGTCCACGTCTTTAGTTATAAATCCTAATCATTTTTTATTTTTATCTGAAATATACATTTGGCTACCTTTTTTTTTTTTTTTTGCGGTACGCGGGCCTCTCACTGTTGTGGCTTCTCCCATTGCAGAGCACAAGCTCCAGACGCACAGGCTCAGCGAGCCCGCTCCGCGGCACGTGGGATCCTCGCGGACCAGGTCACGAACCCGTGTCCCCTGCCTCGGCAGGCGGACTCTCAACCACTGCGCCACCAGGGAAGCCCTTGGCTACCTTTTTAAAAGCAAAGGAAAGATTTCTTTTTGTGTGGGCATAAAATCTCCCACATTTGCTTCTGGTCTGAATGCATGAATTTTTAATTTACTCATATATATATTAATCAGTTTTACTTCATTACTAAGTTTGGATCACTGAGCATGTAATTACCATTAGTGAATTCTTTTGAGCCCAAATTTAATCACCACAAAGAATATTGCACTTAATTTCCCCTTTCCTTGATGACTTAGTTCGTCATTACTGAGGGTACTATACTGTCATATCAAGATGCCCTCTGGACTTACTAATGATTTGGGGGATGTTTCTCTTCCCCTAGACGGTTCCAAACTAGTGTGTTTTGACCAAACTTTTGGGAATTCCCTACAAATAAAAGACAGAGGGGATTTTCATATACAGAGTATATGCAGGTTATTGACTGATCATTTAAAGAAATATTTTGGATTTATTTCTTCATTTTTGCCTGTATTTTAAATAGACACATTTACTGGGTAATTGAGTTCTGCATAGGTAGAGTGATGCTAATTACCACAGACAAAACTACTGTGTGAAAAACTCTGTGGAACACATTCTGTTATGATGAGACTTCAAAAATAAAGCTTAAGTACCATAGTCTTATTACACAGAATTTAGCAATGAAACTAAAAGTGGCTTAGTCTTTCTGTACCAAATGAACAGGTGAACAGATTGACAGGGGGGAAGGGGTGATGTTACATAGATATCATAACAGCCCTTCTGTCTTCCTTCTTCCTGCCTCCAAAGTATGTCTTGTGCTTTGGAGATGTTTTATTTTGGTAAGAGTTTAGAGGAGTTAGTTTAGATAATAGGGATGTTTAATAAGAAAATCATGCTAAAAATATTAACAACTACCATTTGAAAAAACCTGACATCTGAAGTGAACTAGGCAAAACCAGAAAAGTTAGTTGTCTTCTGTAAGAAGAGATAGAGAGAACCCTCCTACACTGCTGGTGGGAATGTAAATTGGTGCGGTCACTATGGAGAATAGTAGGGAGGTTCCTTAAAAAACTAAAAATAGAGCTACCATATGATCCAGGAATCCCACTCCTGGGCATATATCTGGAGAAAACTCTAATTTGAAAATATACATGCACCCCTTATGTTCATAGCAGCACTATTTACAATAGTCAAGACATGGAAGCCACCTAAATATCCATCAACAGAGGAATGAATAAAGAAGATGTGGTACATGTATACAGTGGAATATTACTCAGCCATAAAAAGAATGAAATAACGCCAGTTGCAGCAACATGGGTGAAGCTGGAGACTATCGCACTAAATGAAGTAAGTCAGAAAGCAACAAATACCATATGATATCACTTATATGTGGAATCTACAAAAATGATACCAATGAACTTATTTACAAAACAGAAAGAGACTCACAGACATAGAAAACAAACTATGGTTACCAAAGGGGAAAGGGGGGGGAGGGATAAATTAAGAGTTTGGGATTGACATATACACACTACTGTATATGAAATAGATAACTAATAAGGACCTACTGTATAGCACAGAGAACTCTACTCAGTACTCTGTCATGACCTATATGGGAAAAGAATCTAAAAAAGAGTGGATATATGTATATGTATAAGTGAATCACTTTGTTGTACACCTGAAACTAACACAACAGTGTAAGTCAACTACTATATTTCAATAAACATTTTTAAAGAGAGGAGATACAGCAACTTACAGCCAGTGCAGCCTGGGCATGTGCTGACAAAGAGGTTTGTCAGGCAGGCGGGTAAGGATGTTATTCATCAGTGCTCTGAAAAAGAGAAACACAAAGGAGTCTGAGTTTTCTGTCTCTTTTCTCAACTGAAGTCAAAACGTGGTTTTATCATTATTCTTATGAAGTCGTGAACATCTACTAAGTTCGTTGTCTTCTCACTCAAATTTCTCTCTGTAAGTCTTGATATATTTAAGTGCTTGTTAGTAATAAAATTAGACAAACGGTAGCCATCATATGGAGGAAGCAGTAACATTAGCAACTGAAGAAAAGTCCTGTGCCCTTCAGTAGTGGGTACTGAAAAGGAGGTGATTTTAAACAAACGTACTTTTCTTTACCAAGATTAATATAGGATAGTACTGGTGTGCTTAAGAATATTTCAATAAAGCATGGCAGTGGGGCTGTGTTCAGTTTTGATGGGCTGACATTCTAGAAGATGGAAGATCTTATAAAACTGTTACAACTACAAAACAGCCTCATAGGAAATGACTAGGAGATGGTTTTTAGTTGAAAATTCCATTTTAGGGTTTTAATTCCAAATGTCATGTTGTTAAACCCAATTTTTATTCATGCCTTTTCCTTCAGTTGAAATATTTGCATAAATTTTTAGTACTTACAGGAGAATAAGAGAATTCAGTCCATAAAATGTTAGTGGGGAAATTCGACTGAGATGATTCTCTTCAATTATCCTGCCAGCCAGAAGAAAAAAATGGGTTCATTTACATATTTTTCGAACATAAAGGCTAGTACTATAAAATGCCACATAAATTAAACATACAGCCACTCTAGTCTGTGGAGATCTTCAAAAACACCCGGCTTCAGGAAGGTTATTCTGTTATGACTGAGGTACCTGAAAAAAGAGAAATAACTACAGTAAATTTGATACCTTCTTGATATCTTATAACAAGGAAAGGAAGAACAATAATTGTCCATCTTAAATTTTCTTATATGTTGTTCTCATCAGGCCATTTCCCTGTCCTCGGAGCCCTGAAAGTTCTCTATCACTTACCTTTTCACGTCTAGTTTTTCATTTCCCAATAATCAACCCACCAGCAGCCAATCCCTCACTCCCTCTGTCTATTCATTTATTCATCAAATTGTTTTGAGCCCCTATGCTACGGCATTGTGCTAGGTGTGGAATCGCTTTCTCCGAGGGGCTTTGCATCTAGTAGAAGACAGCATGTGAGCAGGTAGTTATTGCAGCAGCAGAGGGAAAAGAACAAGAGCATACAGGTCCTCTGACTTTTCAGCAGAGCAGGTGTCGGCCGCTGCTGGGACTGGGGAAGCAGAGCTTGGAGGGGAGAGGGGACAGGGAGTGTTAAAGAAAGAGGCCTCTATTCCTGCCCTGCAAATAGGTTCATCTGTGCCATTTTTCTAGATGCCACATATATGCGTTAATATACGATATTTGTTTTTCTCTTTCTGCCTTACTTCACTCTGTATGACAGTCTCTAGGTCCATCCACCTCACTACAGACAACTCAATTTTGTTCCTTTTTATGGCTGAGTAATACTCCATTGTATATATGTGCCACATCTTATCTTATTTGCAAAGCATAGAGACATGGACGTAGAGAATAAACGTATGGACACCAAGGGGGAAAGGAGGGCGTGGGATGAACTGGGAGATTGGGATTGACATATATACATTATACTGTGTATAAAATAGATAACTAATGAGAACCTACTGTAGAGCACAGGGAACTCTACTCAATGCTCTGTGGTGACCTAAATGGGAAGGAAATCCAAAAGAGAGGGGCTATATGTATATGTACAGCTGATTCACTACGCTGTACAGCAGAAACTAAGACAACATTGTAAAGCAACTATACGCCAATGAAAATTAATTACAAAAAAAGAAAAGAAAAAGAAAGGCTCTTCTCAACTGAGCCTTGGATGAGGTGTATCATTCACAAAGCAAAGCATGGCTGGGAGTGATTCCAGGCAGAGGAAATGGCTTATGCAAAGGTGAGAGGTGCAACGGTGACAAGGTGAGGGGTCACGGTAAAGAGGCTGTGAGGGGATGCAGGAGATGCCCCTGGAGGCAGGTACGGACCTGCTCTGGAGAAAAGACACTGAATGCCTTGCTGGAGAGTCAGACCCATTGTACTTTGACCCGACTTTACTTCTCACTCTTATGCAGAGTGAACCAACTCTTCCTTCTGTTGTGCTGATCTCTTATGTGTTTATTTCTTTGTTTTCTTCCAAAAGCAAACACCAGCTTTTAACAACTTTCAAAATCACCTCTCTTCTTTTACAGAGGCCTTATTTATTTTTTTAAAAAATTTATTTATTTTTGGCTGCGTTGGGTCTTCGTTGCTGCGCGCAGGCTTTCTCTAGTTGCAGTGAGCGGGGGCTACTCTTCGTTGCGGTGCGCGGGCTTCTCATTGTGGTGGCTTCTCTTGTTGAGGAGCATGGGCTCTAGGCACGCGGGCTTCAGTAGTTGTGGCTGGTGGGCTCAGTAGTTGTGGCACACGTGCTTAGTTGCTCTGTGGCACGTGGGATCTTCCTGGAGCAGGGCTCGAACCCGTGTCTCCTGAATTGGCTGGCAGATTCTTAACTACTGCGCCACCAGGAAAGCCCCGGTCTTAGAGTCTTTATGTGGCCTTTTCTCTTTTTTTTCTGAAGAAAACTTTTGGACACACACACAACCACACACAGCCCAACAGAAGCTGGTAAAGCAAGGGAAATATTTGGAAAACTCTAATTCCACTTAACTTTGTCCTTTTGGTTTGGTAAAGTGGAGGTGAGACTCTCAAAATACCTAAGGTTGCCAATGGTAGCAAAAGCACTGGACTCGAATGTGTGCAATATACCTTTCCTTCCATTTTGTCTTAAAATGGCAGAGAAATTGTCTTGCGTGTTTATTTTTCTCTCAGTTTCTCTAATGCAGCAACTCACTGCTCTGAGTCTGCTGTCAGACAGTTGGGTTCCTGGCTTCGCTACTTGCTAATAGTGTGACCTGAAACAAACAGCGACTTCAGAAATCCTCAGTTTCCCCAACTCTAAAACGGAAATAACACCAGTACCTAGTTCACTGGGCTGTTGAACATTTGAGCCAGGCATGTCAGGAACACTTGGTGCATATTAGTAGAATGAGGTCTCTGTTCAACCTCCCACTTCAACTTCTTTCCTGTTCTTTTTCCTCATTGCCTATGATTCTCATGTGAGTATTTGTTCAAATTCCTCTTCCCCTGATACACGGACCACACTGATTTCTCTTTTTGCTACTCTGACAGATCTTAGAGCTGACATCCTGTAAAATCTGTCCTTCCAGGAATCTCCCGTTCTCCATCAGATTTGACTTTTCTTGGGGGTAGCAAAGAATAAGTCCCCATACTAGAGCCACTTCCTTCCCTTGCAAGCCTGGAGCCCCAGTTGGGCACAGGAAGATGTTAAGAATCTCTTCAACACTTGCCCTGAACACCTCAGGGGTTCCCTTAAGAGCCACTAGAAATCCTCTAGAAAGGTACTTGATCCACCCCCCATGCCCTGTGCTGTCTGATTTGCCCCGTCGTCTTCATTTTTCAGAGTCATCCTTCACTGCTCTGGACCCAAAATAATCGCTCCTTTTAGGGAATCATCTTAGCAGTTGTGGTCTGAACAACATAGGTTTAAGTCTTAGTTAAGTAAACACCCTTGCCATTCTCCAGCTGCTGTGTGTATGTTGGCATTGTTTCCCCACCGTAGACTGTAAGCTTCCAGAGAGCGAGTGGGTGCCTCTCCCCGGTGGAAGCACAGGTTTCTACCTGCAATACTGGGTCATAAGGAGCTAGAAGGTAGCAGGTCTGACTTCTCTTTCTATGCCCCCCACGGTGTCTCGCTGAAGACCTTGCACACTGTGAGGGGTAATGAGTGTCTACGGATGAATGAAGAGCAGTATCTGATGTTTACCCATGAAAGACCAGAACCGTGTGACACTTTAACAGCCAGACAATATTCTCGTGCCAGGAAAAAACCAAGGCGCAGATGGAAGACACTTAAGTTTACTCTCCAGTCTGTACCGTCTTTCAAGAGCCTCCTGCACATCCATTGAACGTTAAACCAAGCAGAGCTGTTCAGCAAGTTTTGAACAGATTTGTGAGAGGCTGTAGAGAAAGGTAGGCAGAAGCATGATGCGGACGACTCCAGTATTGACTTCGAGTAATTTGCCAAGACACGAAAGAGCAGGGAAGGGATAGACACAGCCACAGCGGTTACCGTTAAGACTTTGGGTCTCCGGTGACCTTCTCTGCTAGTAAATGATTAGGTGGCCTTCTTGACTCAACCCCAAACTCTGATACAGCCAGTGAGGAATCTGACCGGAAAGAGTTTCTTGGGTTAAGGAATAAAAACTGGGGTAGGATAGAAGGCAAGGGGCCAGAAATAGAAATACAGGGAGTTGTTTATTAATGTGATTTTTTGGGTTATATTTCCATTCAGTAACTTCTAGGTGGTAAGTTTCAGCTGCCTGGTAAAATGCAGCTGAAATGGAATGGAACTTTGAGAAAGATTGTTTTATAAAGCTTAGCTCTTAACCACAATGAGATGCTACTTCACACCCATAAGGATGGCTGTTACTAAAAACAACACAACACAAAACAACAACAAAATCCCAGGAGGTAAAATGGTGCAGTTGCTCTGGAAAACAGTATGGTGGGTCCTCAGAAAATCAAACGTAGACCTGCCATATGACCCAGCAATTCCACTTCTGGGCGTACACCCAAAAGAATGGAATGCAAAGACTCAAATATTTGTACACCAACGTTCATAGCAGCATTATTCACAATAGCCGAAAGGTGGAAACGACCTAAATGTCCATCCATCAAGGAATGAATATAGAAAATGTGGTACTTTATATATATATATATATATACACACACAATGGACTATTATTCAGTCTTAAAAAGGAGGGAAATTCTAATATATGTTACAACATGCCTGAAACTTGAAGGCATTATGCTAAGTTTAAGACGTGATGAAAAAGGCCTGACACTAAAGGGAAAGTATTACCTGATTCCACTTCTGTGAGGTCCCCTAGAGTAGTCAGATTCTTAGAGACAGAAAGTACCATGGTGGGTGCCAGGGCCTGGGAGGGGCCGTGGGGAGTTAGTGTTTAGTGGGTGTGGAGTCTTAGTTGGGAAGGTGAACAGCTCTGGAGATGGATAGTTGTACAACAGTGTGAATGTACTGAACGCCACTGAACGAAACCCTTAAAGAGGATTAAAATGGCACATTTGTTATATATGTTTTACCATAATTTTTTTAAAAAGCTTTGTTCTTTTAAACTTATCGTGCTTTATGTATTTGTAAAAGCAGAATTAGTGGGAAAAGAGTAACTGGAGAAGTCTTTGGGTTTTTTCCTTCATAAATTTTAACCATCACCAGGCTTTCTCATGGTGATAAAGTTCATTCAATCCTCATTCCCGTCACCACGGCTTATGTATATTGAGCTCCTACTACGTGCCCGGTACAGTGTGCCCAATTCTTCCCACGGATTTTCTCATTCGTTCCTTACAACAATCCTGAGGCAGGTACTGTTGTAGTTTGCATTTTACGGTAGAGGGAGCTGATGCTTAGAAAGGAAATTAAGTTCTCAAGTTCACACACCCAGTGAGTGGTGAGGGAGGACTGGGACTGCAGCCTGTGTGACTCAGGGTCCCATGCCCTTGGCCCCAGTGCTGTGCTGCACCGTCCACTGTCTGCATGTCCCGTGGGCACTGTCGTGGGCGGGAGGGCCGTGTTGGGTGGGATGGGTCGGGCTGGCAGGCCACCACGGAAGGGCAGACTAATTGGCGCTGGTACTTACAGTTTAGTAAGACTGTAGAGTCCTCGGAAAGCATAGACAGATACGGATCTAATCTTATTGTTTTGCAGGCACCTGTGAAAATGATTATTAAAAGGAAAACGTAAGGAAATGGAGTTTCAGTTTTGCAAGATGAAAAGAGTTCTGCGGATGGCTGATGGTGATAGCCCTGCAAAGATGCGGGTGTATGTAAGGCCTCTGAATGTACACTAAATGGTCAAGCCAGTACATTCTATGTTGTGTGTATTTTACCACAATATCTTGTGATAACCTATAATAGAAGAGAATGTCAAAAAATAATACATATATTTGTACGTATATGTATAACTGAATCACTGTGCTGTACACCTGAAACGAACACAACATTGTAAATCAACTATACTTCAATAAAAATTAAAAAAAAATGAAAGAGGAAATGTCAAAAAATTCTTAAAAATTGAAAAAGGTAAACATAACAAAATAATTTAGCGGAGCTGGGTATCATGTCATTTTGTTTCTTGATTAAGTTCACATATGATTAGGCTAGTTTTTATTTGGAACTTCTAGTTATAAAGGTAGGCACATGAGAGCTAAATTTTTTTTTTTTTTTTGCGGTACGCGGGCCCCTCACTGTTGTGGCCTCTCCCGTTGCGGAACACAGGCTCCGGACGCGCAGGCTCAGCGGCCATGGCTCACGGGCCCAGCCACTCAGCGGCGTGTGGGATCTTCCCGGACCGGGGCACGAACCCGTGTCCCCTGCATCGGCAGGCGGACTCTCAACCACTGCGCCACCAGGGAAGCCCGAGAGCTAAAATTAATGTTTGAATTTTTAATGAGTGAAACTTCAGTTTTAGTGTATGGTAATGCACTCACTAATCAAACAAGCCTAGAAGCCTTTTTAACTTTTTAACATTTTCTGCTCTAATTCTACAAACTTGACAGTATTCAACACAGTGTTGGCAAAACGACAAGGTTGTGACATCGTTAAGACCCCAAACCGTATTCCATGTAAACCACAAACTGGCCAAGCAAATCAACTTGAATTGTACTAATTTGACACCTAAGTTTCGCTCCAAAAACTGTTTGAGGAAACTTACCAAGAGTATATATGACAAAAGAGAAAAACAGAAATAGAAAGAATCAGGTGGACCGAGAAGATCGACAACATTCCAGAATGTAGAGGGTGGGACAAGTTTCAGGGGAAGCATCTATTAGTATCTTATTTTTAGCCTGGAAGAGTCCCCAAACTTCTGAAACCAGAAGTATAATGTTTACTAAAAGAAAATTTCCAGGAGCAAGAAGTAAAAACAGTAACACTTGGTTTTCATATTAAAAAACAAACAGCAAAAAAGGATCAGGTCTAGAAGAAGACAAATTAGCTTGGAAGGCCAAGGAAGTATGCTGGCTGCGGAGTTCACTGAGGTCCTGCTGGAGGTTGGGCCTGGAGTTAACAGGAGGTCAAAGGAGACAGAACCTGGAGCACAAGCCGTTGCATCCCACACACCCATTTAAGCTCTGCACATCTACGTACACTGGCCCCAGGTTGTGAACAAGGGCAAAAGTAAGGGCTTCAAGTCTTATTTCTTCTGCTGATGCAGGTCACCATTGTTCTTCAGGGTTTGCTGAGTTTATGTATAATTTTCACAGATTTTAGGAGTGATAAGGGATAAACCAGTATGGGCCAACTCTCAGTTAATTAGAAATTTTGACTAAAGGAGAGTCCCTATTTCTCCAGCATGCAAGAAACCTAACTTTGATTGTAAAATGTTAAGTTTGTTATACACCTAACACTCTCACAGAACATGCTGTGGTCCAATCATTTACTAGGCAATGCATCTTTCTCACTAATAAACAGAAAAACTTTGACAAGTATTTATTCATTTATTTCTAAGTACTGTAATTTTCTGTTAAGCAATAGATTATATTGCCTGGAGGCGGAGCCAATTACCAATTAGAACTTTTTTGGTAATTAGGCTATTTTGATCTATTACTTGGAACAAATTGGTTGTTCAAGAATTAATTCAATGTTCACTGTGTAAAATTGCTGAACTATTGAATCCTGATGTTTAGAGTTGAAGCCCGGACTCCTTTTAAACCATGTGGACATAAGGTGGTGCTACAGATCAGAAAAAATCTTCCTACTCCAGAAATCAGAAAATAAAGGAAGTATCCTCTTGAAGTTTGTGTATCAGGTTTAATTTTGAAAAGCTCTTCTCACTTGATTGATAAATGTCTAGAATACAGTTCTGAAAAGTCATTTTTATTAGAATTTAATTTTCTGATGTGAAATACTTTTCTGCAGGTAATCCGAGCTTTGAGAACATTTCATCAAACAAAGTGGATACATTTTTCTTCTGATTCTGCTCTATCTTTATTATCTTAAAGAAAAAGTACAGATCGATGATATTGATATACCAGGGGTCTCTAGTGTAAAAACAAATCCCAAACCAGTGTAGGTGTGAGAATGAAACTGGGAATTCTGAGACGTCTTCTAGATAGTGTGATTCAGACACAGACTCTTTAAACCCAACAGTTTAAGCCTATGACAATATGATTTAGCCACAAAATTGACCTAAGTAACAGATAACCATCCCCTGGGCCATTATGGATTCTGTGAGTACATAGGTAATCTTAGACTGAAGAGAAGCTAGCATTTCAGATAAAACTCAACCAATGAGGCAGATGTGAAAACGGAATTAAGTCCCTAAAAAACATGCTTGGAGGTTTCAAACCACAAGGACTTTCTATCTTAGGTAGAGATTGACTTTGCAAACATATGGAAGAAAATTCTTCTCTATCTAATCTTTTTTATTTTTTAACATTTATTTATTTATTTGGCTGTGCCAGGTCTTAGTTGCAGCACTGGGGATCTTTGTTGCCATGTGCAGGATCTGTAGTTGTAGCACGTGGGATCTAGTTCCCTGGCCAGGGATCGAACCTGGGCCCCCTGCATTGGGAGTGTGGGGCCTTACCCACTGGACCACCAGGGAAGTCCCTTCTCTATCTAATCTTGAGGGCAGCTCTGGTAAGGGGTCATTACATCATTCTGTAAGATGGGCATTGAAATGCAGAGAGTAAAACCTCTTGAGTATCTTCACTTGGGAGGAGTGTGGTTGGAGGGTTCATAGCACACGTACTCTGGTTTCTTTGGGGATAGATATCATGAGATTTTTCTAGGATAGCATCTAGAATTACTCAGGAAAAAAAATGTTACCTGGTAGTCTCCAGCTAATGGCTAAATAATTCCCCAAAGAGGGGTTAGACTTAAGCAGTGGTGCAGTGTTTGTCTCTGCAGAAGTGGGAAGAAACAGATATGCCAAAAAATGTTAGTCAATTCAATACTAAGAATTAAAATTTTCCTTACAGCTTCTGAAGATCACGGTACTTCTTAAAGCCATCAGGAGGAAGTTTTCTTATTAAGTTCCACTTGAGTGACCTGAAATAAATGTAAATTTTGGTTCTTACTTAAAGGTTTTTTCTTTACTTTTAACAACATTATGAATAATTATAAACTTTATTTACTTTAACACTAGCTTTCAGGAAACATTTTGCTTCATGATGTCACTCTTGTATTCATAATATCGTTTAAAAAGTTTTAAAGAGATTTTATTTGAGAGGTATTTTTATTTTTATTTTATTTTTTTGCAGTACGCAGGCCTCTCACTGTTGTGGTCTCTCCCGTTGCGGAGCACAGGCTCCGGACGCGCAGGCTCAGCGGCCATGGCTCACGGGCCCACCCACTCCGCGGCATATGGGATCTTCCCAGACCGGGACACGAATCCGTGTCCCCTGCATCGGCAGGCGAACTCCCAACCACTGCGCCACCAGGGAAGCCCAGCACATACACTTGATTGCATCTTTTGTTTAGATAAAATGTGGCGATACTAAATACTTCATAAGGTTTTTATGAGGGGCTAACTAAATAAGTGAACATATAGAATAATTTAGAGTCAGATCTATCATGTAATAAACGCACATAGATATCAGCAATCATTATAACTGACCAAGGAACAATGATATCATCTTAAGTGACAATGCGTTATTAATAATGACAATACCACCTGGATTATGATACAGTTTTACAGGGGCTGTTCTGGCTGTCAGGATGAAGCCATTCTTTTCTACTTACATTAAAGTCACATTTGAAGAAACTGATGGAACAGCTCGTAAATTGGTCTCATCACAGTCAAGCTCTAAACCTCGGCAAAGACATTGCACGGGCACGGAACCGACCACTGAATAAAGAGGAAGCAGTAAGGAATGCGGATGATGAGGGACCAGGAATAGGAGGGTAATGAAAAGAAAGAAACAAAAAGCTATAAGAGAATCATATACAAAAATGCGTCATGTCTTACATAAGCAATTTGTGCAGAGCTTTAAATTAAGGTTCCAAAGTTTTGCTTTTAACATTAAAATGATGCTAGAACTTGAAGAAAAGGAAACATACATTTACCAGCCCATGCATTTAAAGAAAAAAAAAAAAAGCAGCCTGCCCCTCTCCATTTGTTGCAAAATGAATGAAGTCATCTGCTCTTTCTTATCCTTGGAGAGTAGCTACGTCCCAGGGTGACAGGACAGGGTGTGATGGGCATTAATGTCCATATTAAAGCTGCTGTTTAAGAATAAAGTATTAATAGTTTTAATGGAAGATGAAGCCCTTTTTAACTAGCAAGAAAGAGAACTCAACTCTGAACTATAGTGCGGGGAGATTTTTTTTTTTTTTTTAATTCAGGAGTTCTTCAAAAGACTTCTTTTGGCTTATGTAGGGATGTAAGGATGCCTACAGCTTCACTTGAGGACGTGAATATTTCTTATGCATAGCCATTCTGTTCTCACTGATGAGAGCTGGAAAGAGAGGGGAAATGGAATGTACGCCTTTGGCTACCTTGTGGGGCTATAGCGGTAGTCTTAAAGATGTGACCTGATATTTCTAAAGTCTGTTAGAGACTTGCAGTGGTGTGTTCATGTAGCTAAGCAACGAAATGGGATTATTATTCAGAGTAAGAGACATCATCTGACTGCTGGCTTGATGGGGAATGGACGATTCCTGGGAGCAATGAGGTGTGATCTTTTCTACGTTTACTTTGAAACTCTGCACTTAGAGCAGAGGTTACAGCCTCAAATATCTACAGGGGCAGGCAAAGCGGGTAGAGACTGCACCCAGCAGTCCCAGTGGGACAGCTTCTCCGAACTGTTGTCCTATATTACAACAGGAACATCTGTGGCCAAGTCAACCAACTTCCTCAAAGAAGCCAGAAAGACAATATTTCATATTATATAATTACCTACTTAAAAATAATAATGCCTAACTTAAAACATTTTAAATCATCATAGGACAAACAAAACTTCTTGTGAGAACTGTCTGTTTGCAGACTTTTAGTCTATAACCTTTACAGTAAAGCTTCTGAAGAGTAGAAAATCATCGTGATGGCAAAGCAGGCACGCTGAGGCAAAGCTGGGGGGTGACAGATGCACACGGGCGGCTCCAGCCTTGGAAATAGTCACGTGTCTCTTTGCTCAGCTATGAGGCCACAGGTGTTTTCCTTCTCCTCCCGAATAACTCTGCAGACTCCCTACAGGATCCTGAGAGCTCACGATCGATCGTAATTTAGGTTTTGTGTGTTTTGTAAACAGAGTCTGTGCCAAGAACTTTAAAACAGGTTTATGGTTGTAAGTGACCATTCTGGCGATGGAGCTCTGGAAACTGATTCTCTCTCTTTATCCTCTGCTAATGTGAGTGTCGTGGGGATGGGATGTGCAGGGTTAGGGTGGAACACGAAGGTCCCGAGAGGGACAGTATGAGAGGTAAAAATGGAGGGCGGTGAAGTTGGCATTAATCCAGTGTGTCTTTTCTATTATGCAGACTGAATTCAGATAATCCATATATGCTGATCACAAGGTTACCTGTGATAGGGAAAAATGAAAAAATAACACCTAAATATCCAGCCAGGAAAGAAGGAGGAAACAAATTGTCACTTACAGAGTATTTTGAAAAGTGTATAATATGGATACCTGATTATGCTAAAATGCTACCTGAAAATATGATAAGAATGGATTGCATAGAAAATTTCAACTATGTTCAAATAAAAAAAGATGAGTAATGCACCAGCAAGTTAATGCTGGTAGCTTCTGAGTGGTGAAATTATGGCTGAGTAAACAATTCTTTCCAAATCTCCATACTTTCCAAATTCTTGAAATTTAAACTTTATTAATATATTGGTTAGTGATGGATATGTTTTCCATGATATTTTTCTTGAGAGGTGACTTTGTAACTGTGAATTCCTCACATTCTTTCATCCAGCCAAAAAGTATTATAAGCCATTTTCAGTTAAATTTCCAATAAATCCTTATTATAATCTGATTTAAATAAAGCGGTACAAAAAAAATAATAAAGCGGTACCATAGGAACCTTAATTTAAGTTTCACCCCTTAATTTTACGTTACACTTCCCATTTCATTTTTACACTACTTTTAAGCTTGAAAAAAGACATTGAATTATTAATTACCACCCCTCCCCCATCTTTCTTGAAAACTCTAATTAAAAATTATATATTTGTTCATTACTAAGAATTGATAAAACGTTGCCTTTGTATTTTTTGAAACATTTTTTTTGTGTGTGTAGCTGCATTCCTCTTATGTAAGTATACTTAGGACACATTTCTCCCAGAGTTCATCACTGGGCAAAAATTTATTTCTCTTGCTAACTTGATCTGTTTTCCCCCTTTGTTTATTTTTGTTTTACAGACCAGACTATGAAAAAGTCATGTAGCCCATTATTTTTCCTCTTTGACTTAATGACTACAGAATTAAGAACTAGGCAGTAACTTTTCTTAGTGAGGATTTCCTTATCTAATTTTTCTTCTCCATTCCTTTTCCCACTCACCATGGAATTTTTGTCTCTTATGTCATGTTAATGGGTTAAGTCTGTTCGTAGCCATATTTTTATTGTAAATTGCCTAACATCCTTTTGGGAATAACGTGAAATATAAAAAGATTAAATTAAAACTTAAGAAATGAAAAGAAAAGGATGTACAATAAAACAAGAAAATAAAAACTACATTTTGAGATCATATGGCTTAATCCATTAGTTTTTTGCCTTGTATTAGTAGTTAAATTATACCTGTTAACTTTTTCCTTTCCCAAAAGCTTTTAGCTCTTTAATGATAAAGCAATCTGATCTCCATATTTGACAAGAAGACAACATGAAGTTGAGATAGATTGCTGAGTGACCTGTGAGACTTACAGGAGGGATGTATACCCCCTTAAAGTGGGGTTTGCTAGCAGTTTTTTTTTTAGTCTCTTTTGAGTAATGAAGACAAAAAAAAATTTAAAAAATTTTAAAAAGCTGTACTTTACAATTTGTGGTAGAACATAAAGGGAAAAATACAGTGAAGTATTCTTTTCCCCAGCGCCTGCTTTTTAACCAAGGTTTTGAAAAGCTAGGATTAAAATTACAACTTTAAGACACACATTTACATTTGAATAATTTATTAGAATAGAGAACATTTATTTAAAAGGAATTATGTATATAGATCTTTCTGATCTTAAAAATTATAGCTTACCCTCAATGTTATACCCTCCTACAGACTCTTTCCAGGGTTTTTGTAAGTTTTCGGTATGTGACTAAAAGTAGCTGATTGTAATTAATACGGCTTTTTTGGTAGCTGTAAGGTGTGGCTTAGACTCCAGAAGCTTTCTCACCTACAAATGTTAAAATCCAAACAGCTTCTCTGCTCTTCTATTTTCAGTTTCCTTTATATCAGAGTTGCTTTTATATCAGAGTTTATAATGATTGTGAAAAGGGGGCATGAAAAATAGCAACCCTGATGGACTGACATTAATCTTGTTCACAACAATACCTGGCATGATTTATAACCTTTGCACTTATGATCCTTGAGTGATCGTAAAATAAAATCCTCAAATTAAGGCTGCGTGTCTACTAGAACATTATAATTTTGCAAATAGAAAACTATAAATTTTTTAAAATGTTGGATCCAACTGTTAAGAACATGGTGTCTTACTATGAACCTATAGGCAAGGACCGTCATTCCCTCTGATTACTTACAGCATTCAGATGTTTCTGCCACAAAAGGATACCAGGAAGTCATTTTGTAGTAATTGGCAAAATATTTGTCAAGTTGCATAGACCATCCATTGTTGTCACCTAAAATAAAGATCACAGAGCCGAAAAGTTCAAGAACAGAAATATTCTGTTGTGTTGGGGAAAACAGGTCCTCTCTTTAAAATAATTGAATGACCTCTATGAGAATAGAATCTAAAAAAAAGTGGATACAGGTATATGTATAACTGATTCACTTTGCTGTACATTGTAAATCAACTCTACTCCGATAAAAATTAATTACAAAAATAATGAGTGATTGACAAACAGAGGAACGTCATCTGGGAGCTTGTCACAGCATTCTCCAAAAGGGACACATTATCTGTCTCCATATAAACTTGCTATTCCTCCTAAATTCTCTGGATTGGTGAATGGTCCCTACAATCTATCAAACTGCTCAAAACAGAGAAATTAAGTTTTTTGGAATATGCTCATATCTGATGAAATATAATTTGTACAATTTTCCTTCATCTCCATGTTATTTTCTTATTTTTTCATGGCTCATTAACTCTTCCATGAAGATTACATTTGGGGAAGGAAAGGTATTCTAACATAAGTGCTATGTATGCTTGTAAGAGTGTACTTCCTATTAAAGTCCCACTAAAAACAAACTGGAAAGAAGAGAGACTACTTAAACATTGTATTTATAGCAGTTTCCATCCTTTAGTATTACTTATTAGTTTTAAAACTTCTTTATTACAGAAGGTTTCAAAATAAACACCAGTAACAAAGTAGTATGATGATATCTCAAAGATATTATTATATCTCAATGATATCATTATGATATCTCAGTGATGACTGATGGACCTCAAGTTTACCAACTGCAGATGTCAGCCTGAGACTCCAGCTGAGTGCCAGTAACTGGGCGGACAAGAGAAGCACCCCAGAAACAGCAAATCTCAGCTTCTGAACACCCAGGAACCAGGTCAAGGTGCCTCCCCGACCCTTGACATTGTAAAGAAGGTGGCACCTTAGGTAGAGAAAGAGGAGGAAGGGGAGGAAATCTGAAAGAATGGGCTTGTTCAGGCAAATAGAGATGGTAGCTTGTTGTGACTGTGGGATTTAGCGCATGTTTGCTCCCTCTGCATTCTATCTTTGGTTTAGAATGCTTTCTTGTTCTTCAGAGGCTGGTAACGTAGATCTATGTTGTCCAGATCCCAAGCAGCTCAGGTTCTTGTTATAGAAAAGCTTCCACCGAAGGGACTCACTCCTGCGAGACTGGAAGTTTGTAGACACCAGTCTTGTGGGTACCTAGCGGAGGTGGGGCAGTTATCGTGGCCAGTCTCAGGTTCCAGCTTCCTGGGTGAAGAGCTGATGGGCAGTAGTAATGGGGCAGATGTTTGTAACTATGGTGGTGTTTTCCCCACCCCTGACTCTTGCTTCTATTGTCTTTATAATGATTCTATAAACACATTCTTCTCTGTAAGAAATCTCTTTTTTCTGAAGCAAAAGCAAAAAAAAAATCTAGAGTGGTTTCTCTTTCCTCCTTCCAGAAGGGATTGCAGATAACAGAATCTCAAGCATAGTAAGGTTGGGCTGTTTATCTGACCTGGATGGTTTTGAAGATAACAGTAGTCCTGTCACCATTACAAAATGGTACTTTCGTAGTTTATGGCACACAGCAACCAAAAAAAGTTGTTTCAATGATCACTCTTGGCTTCCTGGATTATGAGCCTCTTGGAAGGATAGACTCTGGCAAAGTGGATGCTATGGTAACTCATCAGAATGAAAATGAGAAATGTCAAGGGCTGTGGAATGAGATGACTATAGAGATGGCCCCAGAGAGATTAAGGAAAGAAAATGACAAGCTCAGGGTATGATGTCATCAGCTCAAGAAAATTCAGAGAACCAGGGAGCTGCCATGACTACCCTAAGATAATCTTTTATCCCTTGGGACCTCAGGACTCAGATAGAATCTGATCCAATGGGTTGCTAGGTTACAACATAAGCTGAATTCACATTTTGTCCTGTCTTTTAAGTGCACATTAGGACACTGATTTGGAACGAGAGGGACCCTGCGAATTGTAATGGGACTTTTGAACATGTTCAGTTGAATTTGCAAACCCTAAATCCTCATCCAACTGAGCCTTCCTAAGCCCAGCGTAAATGGGTCCCTTCCCCTGTCTGACCAGGTCACTTTTTTGTTGGAGGCCTGCTAGTTACTTTACTTGACGAAACTAACTTGTCAACTCTCCTAGTAACTCCATTTCGTCATTATTGGGAACTCTACTTACAGATGGAAAAACTGATTCTGAGGACTTTAAGTGATTTGACTAAGAAACAGAATTATTAAAAATAACGAAAGAATTAAAATAATACCATTATTTTAATGTTTTCTTTTCTAGGTCCAAAGATGATTGAATCAGTTTATACTCCTCTTATAGAAATTCCAACTTTTATACGACATTGTCTTTAAATATTTAGCTGTTACTGTCTGTTACCTATTTATTGTTCTATTGCCTGTTTCATTTCCATTCTTGAGGCTCTTACATCAGCATTGTGTGAATTATACAAAAAATTATTTAACAACCAGAAGTAGTTATTAACTTGAATTTAAGCTTATCATTATCATTATTATCCATGGATCAATGGAAGTATTGTGAATCATTTGTAAAAAAAATTTAAAAATAAATTAATTTTCATACTAATATTATGAATTTTTATACATTTATAAACGTTACAGATGAAACACGTGGTAAGATATGTCTTTTGGCTCTGGGTATGCTGAGGCACTGATTATTTTTACAGACGAGTTTTTGTGTATCTACAGAGTGAGGGTGGAAAGGTCTGAAGGACTCAACCCCGCAGGCTGCCAGGGCCTGGTTGGGGGGCGGGGGAGAGGGCGCCCATGCTCACATTTGTGTCCTGACCCATCCTCCTGGACCTCAGAACACAGCGACGGGACTCAGGTGAGGTGCTGCATCGCAGGGCTGGACCTGTATCCGCGGGTGGTGTCTCACTGCTGCTGTGACATTCATGAGACAGAGTGGTTGGGTGACCACTGGAAGACGTTGCTTTTCCTTCTCTCTTGTTCTTCAGCTGGCCCTGTATTTAACTGAGCTTTTCAAGTGAACTGTTGCAATTTGCTGCATTCTTACCATTAATAGGTGGTGCAGTGCTTAACATCTGTTCTAGAGGGGTTCACTATACCTGGTGTAGTTGCAATACTTTAGTCCAACAAATCCAAGTGATGTAGTTATTTATGCTACTTCTCTGTCTCTTTCCCAATCTTATTATTTTCTCTCCTTTTCTACCTCATTGTACCTCAACACACACACACACACACACACACACACACACACACACACAGACACAGAGTTGAAAAGAGAGGGAAAAGAGAAAGAGAGGTGATGGGGAATTTGAGAATGCAGAAGGAAACAGGACAAGACGGCTTACAGCTCTCCAAGTGAGAGCATATGTTTTGCGGGGAGATCTCTTTTTAAATAGCAGCATCATCAAACAAACAAGCTTCTTTGCAATTAGCACTTACCTTCTTCCCTGCTTTCCCAAAGCATTTTCTTCTTCCCACCCATTACTTCCTCTCACCAGAAAGCAGGAACACAGAACATAGAAGATGTAGCCAAAATTGCAAAGTTGGAAAGTTAGCATTTTTCAGAAAACAGCTTTTGGAATATGTGTTTCTATATCTTAAATCCCATACCCTTCATATTTCAAGGATGTATGGGACAGTGGGCAGAATGGTTTTTCATACTTTACTTGCGATCCCACTGAAATTTGACTCTCTGAGTTTTCCTGAGGTATCACAAAGTAGAGAGCACAGTACAAGAGGGTATTGCGTTAGGGGATGTGGTTCCTAGTATGTGTTGGTAGCGCTGTATGAAGAGCATTAAGTATATATATTTACTAAAAATAGGTTTTTTAAAAACTAAAAACATGTAATGATGCTCTGAATAAGAATGAATGACGTAGACCAAGAAAAATCTGGTCCTGCATACTGCCTGAATAAGTATGTGCTAATTCAATGAATGAATGAATGAATGGGTCTCTGTCCTCAAAGACACTTCAGAGAAAACCCAGTCTCCCTGATGTTATAATAAAATTTGGGAACTGGGACACTTAACAAAAACACAGATTTCCAGGCTCCTCTACTGGAGACTCTGATTTATTTGGCCAATATGGGGTCTGGAGGTCTATATATTCCATCAATGCCCGGGGGGAGTCTTACAACAAGTTTTGGAAGAACTGCATTATGGGATTTTCTCTGACTAGAGCCCTTCTCATGTTGCAGTGGAGGACGGCTAGATTTAGCAGAAGAATCCTGTCAATCAGAAGGATCAGATTCTTTTCCTTAGTAACGTTGCTGTTAACAAGATGAATGCAAGTGGTCCGTAATTTAAGGGCACTTTGATCATATGTCTTGTTACACTTATAATCTGCTTCATACTGTGCCTATTTAGATATGTATTTTATCTCCTTATGAGAGTACGATAGGAATTAATCTTCTTAGCTTATGTATTTTTATTGCCTCAGTGACTTCTAAGGTACTTTTAATATAGTTAAAACATGACTTTTACTAGCTCTCATAAAGTATATAAAATAGTAAATCATTATTTCATTTGCATCTAGTATTAGTTACAATTTATTTTATGGAAAAGTGCGTTAGACACACCAATCTGAATTCTGGAGAATGCATCTCTCTTCTCCATGCTCTCACATTCCCCGGCATTGGCGCCGGGGGTGGGTGTGTGGCGTGTCAAGGGTTGACGTCTGGATGGGAATGGGAAAGGTCCAAGTTTCTTGAAGGCACTGCATAGTTGTGACGGTGCTATATTAGGCTTTCCTCAAACTGCTTCCCAGGATTCTTCTTGAGAAGAGAGTTCTGTGGTTAAATATGCTTGGGAAATGCTGAATCCTGTATCCCCACTTGGAATTAATAATGCAGGCTAGTACGATGAAAGGAAATCAGCCTTAAAGAAATAGCTTTAATTTTGTTTAACCCTTTTATATGCCATCTTTTAATACATGTTGGGAACTGTTTGCTTCTGTATTCGCACAAGAAGACTCACAGACTTAGAGAACGAACT